TGTTGGTGAATATGTTGCGGATCGTATAGTTTATACAAATCTGAATGCTCCATTGCGAACTGATCATTCATTTATTATTCAAGAAGATCCACTTCATCATATATGCCGTTCTATTCTAAGAGAGTAGATACAGGAATGGTGTCTCAATTTAGATTGGATTCATTTCATTTAGTTTGGCATGGAGTTTTCAAACGATTATGGATGGTATGGATGCAATGGAATGGGCCATGGAAACTTAACAAGTTCTCCAGAAAAAATATTTCTAACAATCTAAATTTTTTGAGGGATTTCTGTCCAAGTGATTTTTGCAGACTACCAAGATCAATTGATGACTGGAAAATGTACAAAGCTACAGAAGAGAGACGATTATGTCTTTATGATGGACTCCTAATATTTCGAAATAATTTGCAAGAAAATGTTTATAAAAACTATCTCTTACTTCAAGCTGCCCTGTATATTCTCTCTAGTCCTTTACATGTTAATGTATTGAATGACTTTGCTAATGAATTGCTTAGAGCATTTATTAAGCATTGTATAGAATTGTACGGGAAACGTTTTGTGGTATATAATGTTCATTCGCTTTCTCATTTAGCTCAAGAATGTGCAGAGCATGGTTCTCTGGAGAATTTTAGTTCTTTTATGTTTGAAAATCGCTTAAAATCAATCAAAAGTAGCCTAAAATCTGGATATAAACCACTGCAACAAGCTGTATTACGGGATTTAGAACGAGTCAGAGCAATAAAAATTAAATTAAAAGCTAAAGAGAAGATTATTCACCTTTCTCACAGACATGAGGATGCAGAAGAACAATTACCAGGAACACACTTTCGGTGTCTTTCTATTGATAGTATGGTATTACGGATTGATATAAAGAACTGTTGCTTCTGCACAACAGATGGAAATGTTTACATTTTAAGGAACATTGTAAAGCAAGAGAGAAGAGTGATGCTTGTTTGTAACAAGTTTCAGGATATAGGCGATTTTTATACATATCCTTTTCCATCCTCTCGATTAGGTATTGTGAGAGTTTCTCAAATAGATGACGAAAGGTTCATTGTGCCATTGCATGATGTTCATGCTAAATGTTGGTTAATGCCCTATTCCGATGATTGTTTTTATGTGTTCCTCTTCTCCATACAATATTATTCCAATAATATTTGAGATTTTTCTGTTAAGTATGCAATATAAGTAGTAATCTTAGTATAGGTTTACAAATTTTTTCAAATGAAACCATTTGTCATTACGTGGAAAGTGTAATTTGTGACATGAAAAAGTGACAAGAAAAAAGTTTTATATTTTATGCTTATTGTAATTTTATGTGTTTTGCAGTTTATGGTTGTGAAATTCTTATCTACTGATGATGAAGAAACTGATGATGAATGTTACGAGGTGGCTCTTTCAAAATGGCTTGAAGATTTAGATGAAAATAGGATTGGAAATATATTCTGGCCAGAAGATAAATCTATAGCAGGGACATTAGTTCGAACTCAAGCAAATGCGGAATCAAATTGGCCCACTTATACAGTGGAAGTTAAAAGATACTATGGTGAGCAATTTTCTCTTATATCTTCTTTTTCTGCCTGTTTAAAAGTTATTAATAATATGGTTTGTTGCACTAGATACATATTTTCAAGCGCGAAAAGGATTAACAGGAATAATAGAGTATGCTTCAGCCTATGAGACTGATACTGGAAAAGAAATGGGAAGAGGAAAGAGGAAGAAAAAAGTAAAACCATTCACGTCTTCAGAGGAATCTGATAATGATCAGTGTGTAAAAGATCAATTGAAGAAAAAAAAGTGTAGCATTCCTTCACCACCAACAATCCATGTTCCTGGAACTTCTATCTCAACTGATAAGAATTCTGGTCATATTAAATACAAAAGACATATTATTGAAGATTCCTCAAGCATAAAAAAACTGAAAGTTGCAAAAGATTCAAGTGAATCTACAGGATCAGAAAATACTCGTGAACGATTGCTTGAAAAGATTATCAATGAAAGAAAAAAGGCTATGAAAAAAAATGAGAAAAATAATACTACATTATTTGCTGCACATTCACAAGTTTTACAACCATCATCAGGAAAGCAATCTACATCTAACACCTTTCTTTGTCAACGTAACATGAAGACTTCCTCTACATCAAAAATTGTGAAATCTCCAGAGAAGACTGCAGTCAATAAGCTCAGAGAATTGTTTGATAACACTAAGACAAAAACCAAAGAAAAGGTTAAAAAATCTAAACCCTCTACAGCTTCTGAAGTTTCCTTAAAAATTACACCAGGTCCTTCTAACAACTATTCTGAAAGATCTAATATGAGTCCTTCGACAGAGTCCGATATTTCAAGGAAATCAGATGATCCGCTTAGAAACCCACAGAAATCTCCTTCTTTGTTGAATTTGGAATTAGAAAGAGAACATAATCCGATAAATCCTTTGTCTCAATCACCATCAGTAAATGATGATACTTCACAAGATACTACACTACTCGCACAAGAAGAAAAGAGCAGCCCACTTTCTTCCAAAGAAAAATTAGAGCGACCTGTTCGTAATTTGACAAATGTTCTTATGTTAGTGCAGGTATATTAGATTGTTTGCTCATACACATGTGTATATGTATGTGAATGTATATATATATCCCAGACAGCACAAAATGGTCGAAGAATGTTCAAAGAACATTTTGTGTTGTCTGGGTATATATATATATATATGTAATGTGTATATGTATATTTTAATAATTTGTCATTTTATGTTTACATATATATTTTCAGATTTTGATCAACATTTTATAACATTGAAAAAGAACTTAGACGACATGAGCAGCAAGCTTGACGTCATTATTATGAACCAAGCGAACTTAAATAAATGTTTGATTCCGGAACAGGCTATCATTACTAGACCTTCAAATCTACCTCCTTTACCTTTAAATGATATGAAAAGTCTCGAAGAATTTGACAAATTTTTATCTAAAGATGTAAATCTGTCGGCAGCGGTAAGTAATATTTTATATGCTTATATAATCCAATATATTTTTATTACAATTTTTATTATAGTTATTATAATAATTCTTTAACATTATTTGTGCTATGCTTCTTATATTTTTAAATATATCATACAAGTATATTTTTATTTATTAACATGAGTGATAAATAAATAAATGTGTGTGTGTGTGTGTGTGTAACGTTGACAAAGAGAGGTGCTAATGATTTTTCCCGGTGTTTATATTTTTTACAGTGTTACTATTTGAAGAGTTTGCCGTTAGGTGATAATGAAAAAATTGTAGCATCAAGACTTATGACCAAATTGATGACTAATTCCTTAGCGAAACAATTCAACTTTGATGGTCATAATCCTCAAAAGGCTAAAGTTAATAAAAGGCCATTTAAGAAACTGAAACTATGGGAATTATTTCAAGGTATTTTATCTTCTTTTCAATATTTTGTTTCATCTTAAGTTTATTGTAGAAAAAATTCATAAATATTTCTTTTTTTTCTAGGAGTTATGCTATTAAAATTTCCTACCAGTGATTTGGAAGATGCCTTAAATGCAGTCAGAAATTGGCTACGAAACGCTGCTGGGCATAAGCAATGAAATGTGCAATTTCATTTTTTTATTTTTAACAGAATCTAATGTATAAGAAAAGCAGAGGTAAAAAGTGCTCGCATACGAGAATATTGCGTTGTGATATCTTATTATTCTTAGACGACTCTTTACAAGGTCTTTTTCTCGATACAAATTAGCACGGGGGAGGTTTCCCATTAAAAGGGAAGAGGTCATTTAATATTTGTCATAAAATGCAATTAATTATTTTTTTTTCTTGAATGTGAAATATGATCTCTATTCATGTGCAATTTGCGAAGTCTTATGTCATTTTTATTTTGTTATTGTATTTTTGATATTGCTGCTTTATTTTGAATATTATTTGTCTTATTTTTTATTTATGTAACTGATAAGACATTGTCAGGTTTAAATTTGATTTGAATTATTACATATAAAAGTTTTTAGTTGAAGTATGTATATGTAGAATATATATGTACACTAATAAAGAATGTATATATATATACATATATAAAATATATATATTTATAATATATATATATCAAGACACGATAAGATGGCATATACTGGAGTTTTCAGTATGTCAACAAAGATTATCCTGTATTGAAATTGTCCAATACATATTAATAAAAAATAGATATAAGGTTAATAATACATATAAAATTATTTTCTAAAGTGTCTTTTCCATCCTTTCAGTTTCAATTATATAAATATATGTATAACAATCTAAATACCAAGATCCAAATAATTTTAGTGTTGGTTCTATTTTTTTCATTCATAAATTAAAAAGGTAATGTAAATTTTCTAAAGAAAATATATTTGCATGCATCCAATATTACAATTCAATGAATGTTTACTGAGCAATTTGTTTTGATTAGAATATTACATTATTCTATATTTTACAATAAAAATATACTTAGAATTAAAATAAAATGTTCACTGAATATATTACATAATATATTACGTACACCATTCAGTGAACATTTTATTTTAATTCTAAGTATATTTTTATTGTAAAATATAGAATAATGTAATATTCTAATCGAAACAAATTGCTCAGTAAACATTCATTGAATTGTAATATTGGATGCATGCAAATATATTTTCTTTAGAAAATTTACATTACCTTTTTAATTTACGAATGAAAAAAATAGAACCAACACTAAAATTATTTGGATCTTGGTATTTAGATTGTTATACATATATTTATATAATTGAAACTGAAAGGATGGAAAAGACACTTTAGAAAATAATTTTATATGTATTATTAACCTTATATCTATTTTTTATTAATATGTATTGGACAATTTCAATACAGGATAATCTTTGTTGACATACTGAAAACTCCAGTATATGCCATCTTATCGTGTCTTGATATATATATATTATAAATATATATATTTTATATATGTATATATATATACATTCTTTATTAGTGTACATATATATTCTACATATACATACTTCAACTAAAAACTTTTATATGTAATAATTCAAATCAAATTTAAACCTGACAATGTCTTATCAGTTACATAAATAAAAAATAAGACAAATAATATTCAAAATAAAGCAGCAATATCAAAAATACAATAACAAAATAAAAATGACATAAGACTTCGCAAATTGCACATGAATAGAGATCATATTTCACATTCAAGAAAAAAAATAATTAATTGCATTTTATGACAAATATTAAATGACCTCTTCCCTTTTAATGGGAAACCTCCCCCGTGCTAATTTGTATCGAGAAAAAGACCTTGTAAAGAGTCGTCTAAGAATAATAAGATATCACAACGCAATATTCTCGTATGCGAGCACTTTTTACCTCTGCTTTTCTTATACATTAGATTCTGTTAAAAATAAAAAAAATGAAATTGCACATTTCATTGCTTATGCCCAGCAGCGTTTCGTAGCCAATTTCTGACTGCATTTAAGGCATCTTCCAAATCACTGGTAGGAAATTTTAATAGCATAACTCCTAGAAAAAAAAGAAATATTTATGAATTTTTTCTACAATAAACTTAAGATAAAACAAAATATTGAAAAGAAGATAAAATACCTTGAAATAATTCCCATAGTTTCAGTTTCTTAAATGGCCTTTTATTAACTTTAGCCTTTTGAGGATTATGACCATCAAAGTTGAATTGTTTCGCTAAGGAATTAGTCATCAATTTGGTCATAAGTCTTGATGCTACAATTTTTTCATTATCACCTAACGGCAAACTCTTCAAATAGTAACACTGTAAAAAATATAAACACCGGGAAAAATCATTAGCACCTCTCTTTGTCAACGTTACACACACACACACACACACATTTATTTATTTATCACTCATGTTAATAAATAAAAATATACTTGTATGATATATTTAAAAATATAAGAAGCATAGCACAAATAATGTTAAAGAATTATTATAATAACTATAATAAAAATTGTAATAAAAATATATTGGATTATATAAGCATATAAAATATTACTTACCGCTGCCGACAGATTTACATCTTTAGATAAAAATTTGTCAAATTCTTCGAGACTTTTCATATCATTTAAAGGTAAAGGAGGTAGATTTGAAGGTCTAGTAATGATAGCCTGTTCCGGAATCAAACATTTATTTAAGTTCGCTTGGTTCATAATAATGACGTCAAGCTTGCTGCTCATGTCGTCTAAGTTCTTTTTCAATGTTATAAAATGTTGATCAAAATCTGAAAATATATATGTAAACATAAAATGACAAATTATTAAAATATACATATACACATTACATATATATATATATACCCAGACAACACAAAATGTTCTTTGAACATTCTTCGACCATTTTGTGCTGTCTGGGATATATATATACATTCACATACATATACACATGTGTATGAGCAAACAATCTAATATACCTGCACTAACAATAAGAACATTTGTCAAATTACGAACAGGTCGCTCTAATTTTTCTTTGGAAGAAAGTGGGCTGCTCTTTTCTTCTTGTGCGAGTAGTGTAGTATCTTGTGAAGTATCATCATTTACTGATGGTGATTGAGACAAAGGATTTATCGGATTATGTTCTCTTTCTAATTCCAAATTCAACAAAGAAGGAGATTTCTGTGGGTTTCTAAGCGGATCATCTGATTTCCTTGAAATATCGGACTCTGTCGAAGGACTCATATTAGATCTTTCAGAATAGTTGTTAGAAGGACCTGGTGTAATTTTTAAGGAAACTTCAGAAGCTGTAGAGGGTTTAGATTTTTTAACCTTTTCTTTGGTTTTTGTCTTAGTGTTATCAAACAATTCTCTGAGCTTATTGACTGCAGTCTTCTCTGGAGATTTCACAATTTTTGATGTAGAGGAAGTCTTCATGTTACGTTGACAAAGAAAGGTGTTAGATGTAGATTGCTTTCCTGATGATGGTTGTAAAACTTGTGAATGTGCAGCAAATAATGTAGTATTATTTTTCTCATTTTTTTTCATAGCCTTTTTTCTTTCATTGATAATCTTTTCAAGCAATCGTTCACGAGTATTTTCTGATCCTGTAGATTCACTTGAATCTTTTGCAACTTTCAGTTTTTTTATGCTTGAGGAATCTTCAATAATATGTCTTTTGTATTTAATATGACCAGAATTCTTATCAGTTGAGATAGAAGTTCCAGGAACATGGATTGTTGGTGGTGAAGGAATGCTACACTTTTTTTTCTTCAATTGATCTTTTACACACTGATCATTATCAGATTCCTCTGAAGACGTGAATGGTTTTACTTTTTTCTTCCTCTTTCCTCTTCCCATTTCTTTTCCAGTATCAGTCTCATAGGCTGAAGCATACTCTATTATTCCTGTTAATCCTTTTCGCGCTTGAAAATATGTATCTAGTGCAACAAACCATATTATTAATAACTTTTAAACAGGCAGAAAAAAGAAGATATAAGAGAAAATTGCTCACCATAGTATCTTTTAACTTCCACTGTATAAGTGGGCCAATTTGATTCCGCATTTGCTTGAGTTCGAACTAATGTCCCTGCTATAGATTTATCTTCTGGCCAGAATATATTTCCAATCCTATTTTCATCTAAATCTTCAAGCCATTTTGAAAGAGCCACCTCGTAACATTCATCATCAGTTTCTTCATCATCAGTAGATAAGAATTTCACAACCATAAACTGCAAAACACATAAAATTACAATAAGCATAAAATATAAAAACTTTTTTCTTGTCACTTTTTCATGTCACAAATTACACTTTCCACGTAATGACAAATGGTTTCATTTGAAAAAATTTGTAAACCTATACTAAGATTACTACTTATATTGCATACCTTAACAGAAAAAATCTCAAATATTATTGGAATAATATTGTATGGAGAAGAGGAACACATAAAAACAATCATCGGAATAGGGCATTAACCAACATTTAGCATGAACATCATGCAATGGCACAATGAACCTTTCGTCATCTATTTGAGAAACTCTCACAATACCTAATCGAGAGGATGGAAAAGGATATGTATAAAAATCGCCTATATCCTGAAACTTGTTACAAACAAGCATCACTCTTCTCTCTTGCTTTACAATGTTCCTTAAAATGTAAACATTTCCATCTGTTGTGCAGAAGCAACAGTTCTTTATATCAATCCGTAATACCATACTATCAATAGAAAGACACCGAAAGTGTGTTCCTGGTAATTGTTCTTCTGCATCCTCATGTCTGTGAGAAAGGTGAATAATCTTCTCTTTAGCTTTTAATTTAATTTTTATTGCTCTGACTCGTTCTAAATCCCGTAATACAGCTTGTTGCAGTGGTTTATATCCAGATTTTAGGCTACTTTTGATTGATTTTAAGCGATTTTCAAACATAAAAGAACTAAAATTCTCCAGAGAACCATGCTCTGCACATTCTTGAGCTAAATGAGAAAGCGAATGAACATTATATACCACAAAACGTTTCCCGTACAATTCTATACAATGCTTAATAAATGCTCTAAGCAATTCATTAGCAAAGTCATTCAATACATTAACATGTAAAGGACTAGAGAGAATATACAGGGCAGCTTGAAGTAAGAGATAGTTTTTATAAACATTTTCTTGCAAATTATTTCGAAATATTAGGAGTCCATCATAAAGACATAATCGTCTCTCTTCTGTAGCTTTGTACATTTTCCAGTCATCAATTGATCTTGGTAGTCTGCAAAAATCACTTGGACAGAAATCCCTCAAAAAATTTAGATTGTTAGAAATATTTTTTCTGGAGAACTTGTTAAGTTTCCATGGCCCATTCCATTGCATCCATACCATCCATAATCGTTTGAAAACTCCATGCCAAACTAAATGAAATGAATCCAATCTAAATTGAGACACCATTCCTGTATCTACTCTCTTTAGAATAGAACGGCATATATGATGAAGTGGATCTTCTTGAATAATAAATGAATGATCAGTTCGCAATGGAGCATTCAGATTTGTATAAACTATACGATCCGCAACATATTCACCAACACATGTGCATTTTTCACAAGCTCCATAACCTCCATGACTAACACAGCGTTTCACCAATGAGCGAGCTGGTGCATCAAGAACATAATTTCTTATTATGAATGGATATGTACAATTATCCCGAATATATCCATTTTCCAATAAATCTTCGAGCTCATTTACGAATTTGTGCAGATAAAAATGTATGTCAACAGGATCATGATCACCAAAGTACAAACCAATAATAAAAGGCTCATTTTCTGTATTTACTAAATAACCTAAAATTGGCCAAACTTTTAATTTAGAACTTTTAGACAATGGAAGGCCATCCATATTGATATCAATAATAACAGAATTGTAAATATTTAAATATTCATCAAGAAGCATGTTGTCAAGGTTTGTTCTTATACTCTTGTACCACATTTGAGATCCATCAGGTAATCGATCAATATCTAAATCTCGAGAAGTTTGGAGTAAGGTTTTGTAGCTTTTAGGTAAGATGGGAAACAATACTCTCAATCTACGAAGTAAATCATTTAACTTCTTCATAGATAACACACCTCCTTCAAGGGCCCACTCCCTCAATGTTTTTAAAACATAGCGTCCTCTCTGTTCGTCATTTTCAAATTCAATCATTAAATCATCATTTTCTTCATCGTTACTATATCTGTTAGCATCATTAATTTCAACACTTCCTTCGCTGTCATTATTCTCATCTTCAAAATGTAATTCACTGTCATTGTCATTATTATAATTATTGTTATCATCCATATTTTCATTTTCAAGTTGATCGATAGATGCATCAGATTCTGTTGATACTTCAGAATTTGTTTCTAATAAAGAAATATCTTCAATCCCTGGAATGGGCAGCATTTCATTATTCTCTTCATCGGATGAAACCTTTTCATTGGATGAAACCTCTTCATCGGATGAAACCTCTTCATCGGATGAAGCCTCTGTCTTGTAGACAGTAGTAATTCGATTTCTTAAATCGTCCAATTTTCTTTGATTCCTACATTGCCTAACTAATTCATTAATTATTTGCTTGTTCGTATTTCTACGACGATTCCTACTTTCCTATGATAGATGTAAAAATAATACAAGAACAACATCAGTACTAAAATATATTGCTTATACTGCATTCACAATAATGTTATGTAATAAATTTTGATAATAAACTTTAAATAAATAATAGCAAAAAAGAAGCAATAGTGACAATATTATTATTAATAATTCCGTATATGTTGAGGTTAGTTAAAGAGTGAGTTAAAGAAAAGTGTATATATAAGAGCATACAATATTTTTAATTAAATAAATCAAAATAATTTATTAATATATATATAAATTATGAACTATTTATATGAAAATTGTAATTTATTTATGAAACAATTATAACCTACAGACGACTTGAGGCACAAAAGTAAAAAGTAGATTATTAAGAAATTATAAATTATGAAGCACTTACCGGTGGACTTTCACTCATTTTTGTTGGTGATGACTTCTTTATTAGAATAGCAATCGATCCAGCAGACTTATTCTGTAACTTTTAACGCATGCGTTATAACTATAATTCATTTGTTAACCATGAATTCGTCGACGATATGACGACTAACGCATGCGTTACAGTTATAACGCATTTGTTAAAAGTTACAGAATAGGCCTCCAGAAGAACAAATATTATCACAAGCACAGTTCAACATTCAACGAACTTCAACGAATGATCATCGATTACGGAACAATAACAGAATGAGTTCGTTAACTCGTTGCGTTAAGTTGGTACTATATTTAGTCGCAAGGCGGTGTCGCAACTCGCAACTTATCTTTTATACGACAGTTAAATCAAAATAAGCGTTATCGAACCAATCATTTAAATAATTAAAGTTATATTTTCATATAAAGTTTCCTCATACATAATTAGTAAATATATATATAATATATATATAATAATTAATTTACCTTTATTTTTATAATTAATTAATATATTACACACACAAAGAGAAATTATACAACACAAAAAAAAATATATATATATATATATATATGGATCACATATATATTTTATATATAAATTTTAATATATGTTTTTTTACATGAAAAGTATTTTATTATGGATTAAAATGAAATGTTTATTGATGTCTGGCCTGATTGTTTTAGCAAATAATATCGACGTCTAGTCGACGTCTAATTTGAACTGAAAAAGTTATAGACGTTATTTACGTCTAATCGACGTCGATCCGATTTCTTGTTTCTCCCTGGGATACTGCACTTATTGCCTGCGTTCGCAGCAGAGAAAGTAGAAGTGTCTGTTGTAAAATTATTGAATTTGAGTATTGTATGAGCTTAGGTTTAGTCAAAACTAAAAGCATACGCCAATTATACGCCATTATTAGATTCATCAATTTTACAACATTTGCAACGCTACTTTTTCTGCTGAATACAGCCGTTACATCAATTATTTAGATGTCTATTAGACATTTTATAGACGTTTATATTAACGTCTAGATGGTGTCGAAATTCAAAGATTTGTCCGTCTATATAGACGTCAAATTAGATCTTACTTAGACGCATATAAAAGACATCGATTCGACGTCTATTCAACATGCCATTTCTCCCTGGGAGAATCGTGTTTCGTTTCAGTATGAATTCTGAAAGAATTAGTGTTTCTCTTTTAGTTATCATATAAATTTGATGTGATTAGGATTCTGTAAATCTGACTAAAGAATAGATTGTTTTGGAATTAATAATACATCGCGTTGTATTGTAATTTACTTTAGGAGGGAGTGGGTTAACATTTTTAGTCCTTATATCTTGTGCTTGATTATATTAATATTTATCATACTTATTATTTATAGTTTGGCGTTATTGTAATAAGTGTATCGATAAGTGCTCCTGTAAAGGAATATCTGGTTAGTTCCGCTAGTTACATGCTGTCTCTGGGGTCCCTAGATAGTGCCTGATTGGTCGCGTAGTTAGGACTAGATAGAGATGTTTGGTTCCTAGGTGGAGGACCCCAGATCTGGCGATTTTATCTATTAATATTAAAATAGTCAGATTAGAGCAATTAATAAGATATAATGATTGTTAATAGTCTTATTCTATGAGAATATGAATAGCGCGCAATAGTTATATTAAAAAATAAAAAATTTTAAATAGACGGGATGTCACAATACATACGTTTATAGACCAATCAAGATTCTTAAGCGGGAAACACACACTTTTGCATAGGCGCATAAGCGTAAGCATAATAATTTATTCTTTTTGACAATTCCATAATCGTTATTTATCGAGTTTGTCATCAAAATTGGGAAACATAGAAATTTTATCAAAAAATTGTTGGCGTGATGAACGATTTTACTGGCATGTTTCCCGCCTACAAACGACGAATATGTTTTTGTGAATCGTTTGACCACGTTATTCTTATTGTATATTGACCAATTAATTAATTTTTTTGTTTCGTAAGTTTTGTAATATTTAATTGTATTTATAGTTTATATTTTATACATTAAATGGGTTTATATTCGCGTTTTGACATCTGATACTAATTATTGTAAACATGTTTGATTGCTGTCCGTTTTTATTTATATTATCCAATCGAGTATGTTACTTATTTTCATTGTTTCAACATGAGCCCCAAAATGGCGCCGCCAATCCAGCCACCGGACAGCTGTTCAACTATAGTTTTTTTTTCGCTAACACTTCATACGACATACACCGATATATACACACACATAACTTCGTGGTCCCAAAATGGCGGCTCATGCGACAACCTTCCTTCTTTTCCCGTTGTTTATCTATGGATCTTGATCCGTATGATAGAACGAGAACGGAACACAAAAGAAAAAATTTTTTTCAAACGAAACACATCTGAACGCGTCAAAAAACGCTAACGATCTTAAATCTTATATGTCCGCAATAGCACGGTGTGAAATTGCAAATGTCCAATTGTATTGTGCGCAAATGAGCCTCTCCCACCCAGATAGCAGACAAATGTAAAAATATATAACGTCATTAAACGTCAAAATAACGTTATTAAACGTTAAAATAACATCATTAAATGTCAAAATATCACAATAACGTTATTAAATGTCAAACTAACGTCATTAAATATCAAAATAACGTCATAATATCAAAATGGCGTCATAAATGTCAAAATGACGTCATTTTAACATTTAATGACAATGACATCAGTCTGCTACCTGTAGGCCTATTCTGTAATTTTTTAACGCTTGCGTTATAATTATAGCGGTGAGCACACACTCTTGCATAAGCGCATAAGCATATGCATAAGAAATTCGATTGGTTGAATTTCTTATGCATACATTTATAGACCAATCAAGATTCTCATATTTACACTTATGCACCTATGCAAGAGCGTGCTCCCCGCTTATAACGCACGATTTACTAGGTGTGGACCAATGAAATTGTACAGTTTCTAATAAATCATGCGTTATAATTATAACGATTACGAAAAAGTTACAGAATAGGTCTGCTGGGAAATAATAATAGAAAAAATAAATAATAATAAATAATTAGAAATAATTAGTCCCTAGAAATATTTTTCTAGGGACTCTAGTTTCTACTTTTAGATTCAGCAAATAGGGTCAAAAAGTAGGCACAAAAGAGAAGATGGTACAAATATTTAGATTATTGTTGTTATATACATCGTCAATTTCACTTATATTTTACTAAAAAAATGAACTATAACATGGTATGTAATAAATACGATATATTATTATTATTATTATTGTTATAAAGCTAGTTTTATTTATATGATATGATTAAATGACAAGTGTTTGGTTTTTTCGTTCCGTAGATTTTGACAATGATGACTTTCTCGAGGTCTTTATATACTAAACCCAAGGTTTATAAAATAAATTAATTTTTTCTACAAATTTTCCAACTCTAATTTCTGTATTTTCAAGTTTTTATTGGCCAACTCATAACCTATTAACCTTAAAAAAATCTTAAAAATACGCCAAGTATGCAAAAAATTCGACATTGTATGCAAATATGTCTGTAAAAAATTTTTAAATTTGAAAATAAAATTTAAAAATATATTTAGAAATGTAGAGCTCAAAAATAAATAAAATCAAAAAATAAAATGTTTTATAACAATATTTAATATGTATCTTTTTTATTTCAGTTTAACGTGAAATCATATTAAAAAAGTGTACCCTTGTGCGAATACAGTAATTAAGTAACGCAATATAAAGAAAGCTTATGTAACAATAACACATAAATGGTACAATGTCTACTCACTCACAGGATATAGTAAATGTAAATATGCAGGAGATAATGCAACTGGTGGAGCTTCTTCGCCAGAATGGTGACATGATCCTGAATGCCGCAAGCAAGCTTTCCCTATCAACAAACTTGCTACACAGCCTCAATGAAGCATTCTCCCTGATTGTATTGGAATCTGAGGATTTGGAGTCTTCATTTCACGTTTGCAATAGTTCCAAGATAGATATATTTCGTGATATCAAATTCTTACACGACTTTGTGCAGAAAACTATCAGTTTGAAGGTGACTCATTGTTCCCCTGATGTCAGAATTATCATCGACATCTCCAAATTTAGGCATCTGAGGTATTTGGAGTTAAGGAAGGTGTCTATCGAATTATTAAAGGGCTTACAAAGTGTCAGGGGACAATTGGAAAGCATTGTGTGTGCTGGCAAGAAAGGAGTATCTACAATATATCAATTATTAGGTTTGTTTTTTTATTTTTAAAAATTATTTTTAAAAAAATCTTGAGAGAGAGAGAGAGAGAGAGAGAGAGAGAGAGAGAGAGAGAGTACTAGATTAGAGAAAAACTTTGTGATTTCTTTACGCAAATTGATTTCTCTTATTATTTTGTGTATAAAAGTTGAAGCAAGATTATTCAAAAATGAATATTTTTTTTTTTTTTAATCTTTTACTTTTATAATTAATTTTTTATACTGAAAATTGCGAAAAATTGATTTATATAAAAAAATGTGGTTTTATCTAAAAAAAAACAAATGGCCTTCAAATGACCTTTGAAAATCACTTTTTAGGAAATCTAGTTTCTCTTTAATAAAATTCCTTTATTTTTATTATATATAGCGATTCCTTGCAATATTCTGCATAAAAAGTTATGAGTTGGATGACCAAAAAGCGAATAGTTTATGAGATATTTTCTAGTTCATGTAAAATTACATCAAATTGAAGTATAAAATATTTTATAAACTATTTATTTTTTAGATTACCCGCACTTTTTATATCGAATATTACAAGGATCAATTTATATAAAAAATAAGGGTGATTCCATTAAAAAAAAAATGAATAACCTTTAAATATCCTTGAACAGGACAATTTTCTTTCTCCCTTCAAAATTTTACTTTTGTTTGAAATGTATTCGTAAATTGATTTTTTTTTTAGTTTCCCAATTAATTATACAATTTTAATTATAGCGGCATGTGGAGGTGATGCTGGTATTGGGTTTGTGTGGGCATCCTTGAGACATTTAGTATTGCCTCACAATGCTCTTGAATGCTTGGATGAATCATTAGAATTGGCTCCCTGGCTTCAGATATTGGACTTGAATCATAATATGATAACTAATGCAAAGGAGATATCCTGCTTATCAAACTTAAAGTATGTTAATCTTGGCTACAACAAACTGGAAGAAGTACCTCTATTCAATAAGGCAGCATTACATTCATTACAAATATTGGTATTGAAAAATAACTACATTGATAGCCTTAATGGTTGGTTATTATTGTAATAACTACTTATACTGCTTGAAAGTTTTTTTTTTATTAGTATAAAGCTATTTGTGCATGCCATATTTTTCCCATTGGATATAATTTTTAAATCTAATATTTTATATTATTTTATTTTAATATTTTTATACAAAATTTAAGATATTTATAAAAATGTAAATAGATATTTATTTTTATTTTTTAATGTTTTTATTTCAATATTTTTGTATGCGAAATTAGAGGAAATAATAATGTATTTAAAAGATGTTATATAGCTTATCCATTTTTTTTTATAAAAAAGTGAAAATAATTAAAATTTTGAATAGGTCTTCAAGGTTTGGAATGTTTGACAGAATTAGACTTATCATATAATTGTTTAATGGACCACACAGTTCTATGGCCATTACAAAAAATGTCTACATTGTTGTGGCTCTCTTTGGAAGGAAATCCTTTATTTTATCATCCAAAGCATCGAATACTATCTATAAAACATTTGCATCCGAGTTTGTCGGATAGGAAGGTATTTATATGACAGTAAATATATATATATGTCAAAAATTGTAAAATGCAGAAAGCAGATTGAATCTGTAATTAATAATTATGTTTAATTATTATCTATATAATTTTAGTTGTATATTATATATACCTATAATATATATTATAGTGGCAAAGATTTGACCTTGAATAGTTGTTTGAAGGTCACTTTCATTTTCTGAAATGGAAACTACTAATTTTTAATGCATTCTTATAGCTTATCTCGAGAGCTGTCCAAAACACTATAATAAAATATTTTTTCATTAAGTACATTTCGAATTATAAAGCTTGAACTTCACAATTTTTTTCCATAAAATGTAAAATACTTTTCAAAAAATATCTTTTATGAACAGAATAATGAAACCAATCAATTGATATAAAGAAAACATAGTCCTTTCAAGAAAAAGTACGCAGCTATATGTTGCAAATTACATTTTTTTTTTTTTTTACAATTATCTGTTTTCTTTACACCAATTGATTGGTCTCATTATTTCGTGCATAAAAATGCTAAGATTACCGAAAACTGAATAAAATATATATATTTTACAAAATATATATATTTTGCATTTTGTGTAAAAAAAATTATAAGTTTAAGCCTTATAATTTGAAAAGTATTTATTAATGACAAAATATTATAGTGTTTTGAAAAACTTTCGAGATAAGCTACAAGAATTTGCTTAAAAAACGTAGGTTCTATTTAAAAAATTGAAGATGACCTTTAAACTATTATCCAAGGTCAAATTTTTGCCATTATCTTATATCTCTCTTAAAGCTGTACAACTTTGATTTAAAAGATTTTTCAATTTAACGCAGTGTTTCTGAGATATTTGAGTAAATCTTTTAAAATGGGACACCCTGTATATTATAGATGTTATAATTAATTTTATTATATATTATAGAGCTTCTATGGATCCCCGCCGCGGCCATGTTGGATTTGTGACCTAGGTAGTAAACGAACGTCATTTTGACATTGAATGACATCACTAAACGTCAAAGTGACGTCATTTTGACATCTATAACGTCAGAGAAAGCACACGCTGAAAATTCTTGATACCATTTTTAAATGAAAAAAATATTTCGATGAAACACTTTCAGATTGCTTTTATTTCAGAGGTATTTTAAGAGTGTGCTAAAGTCATCTAAAGTGCTGTTTCAAAATATCTTTTTCTTTCTAAATAGCATCTAAAAATTTTTAGCGTGCGTTTTCTCGTCTCTGACGTCACAATTTCATCATGATTGGCGAGGAGCCAGGAGCTTTATACATAATTATATGTAATTAATTATTAATTATACAATGTGACATGAGTTTGAGTAAACTCTGGCAGTTTGTTTTAGATCGTCTATCCCTTTCGAAGTCAGAAAACTCGCTCGTGGCGGAAAATCGGGTCTTCACGATACACGCGAATCAATCCATATCTTTGACCAGCTCGGTATCTGTGTGCGCTGATACATATGAATCGAATGAGAACAGATCGAATCCTCCAGTGACGTCATCTGAAAATTTAGAAAAGAGCGTAACAAAAAGTAAGAGGAAACCGAATGTGAAAGAGGCCATTATTGATGAAATTGATCAGGAAAAGGGGGAATTTAAGAGACTGCCCGATGTGGTTGCTTCGTCTCATTTGGGTAATTGTATAAATTTTTTTTTTTATTAGATTACAGTAGTATATACTATACATATACTAAAATATATATAATATATTTTAATATAATATATATATTATATTTGTTGTATAATTAACAAAATTATATCTATAATTAAATTTATAATAGAAAAATTAATATAATAGAAAATTATATTAATATTAATTATATTGTTATAATTATATTCTTTATTATAATAGAATATAATTTTCTAATAATATAATGCGATAAAAATATAAATGAATGAAACACATTAAATAATTAATAATAGCAGAAAGTATGGTAATAAAATGACATATACTTTTTGTAACGTTATTCGTTTTTGTAGAGTCATCAAAAGATCATTTGGAGACAAGAAAACGCATCTTAGACCTGCGAGAAAAGTTTGGCGAGAATAATTGGCTGAGCAGTCATGCAGGAACCTCCGTTCAAGATATTATGGGTCTTCGTTTTGAACAACTTCCAACATCACAAATATTTGATGACAAGACTTTGGCTGACATTGATGTAGCATCATCTGTCCATGACAATCCGATTTGTACAATATATAAAGATGAAAAATTGTCCAATGAGTCTGAATCGCAAGAAATCGCAAAATATACGGAAGATGACAAAAACAACATTCCTAGAAATGAAGAAATCTCTGATAAATTATATACTTTAGAAACACATGTGGATCATTCTTCTACAGTCACATATGATCCTAGTGAAGGTAAAAGTTGCACGGAATGCCAATTTTTCTTGGAACAAAAAGAATCTTAAATTCTTCTTTATTTTATGTCTTAGAAACTGGAGATTTATATACCGTTCAGAAGAGAAAACATGATAATGAGTTAGATACTATATTTCTAATGCTAACCCCCGAGTAAGTGTCATCTACTGTGAATTCTACTTAAATTGGATTACAGCATTTTTACTTATTTATTTAAAAAATTTTAATTATAATGTAATAATTAATCAAACACTTGGAAACTTTTGTAGCATCAAATTAAACGCATTTTGAGATTACTATATTTTGACTGTATATAATGATTTTATAAATTTAAATTTTATTGCAACTTTTGTAGAAATATTAAAGAAATAGATACAATGACTGGAAAAGTAAAGTTTTATTGGTCGACCAGTTCAGTCCTGTCATGCGTCTTAGGCAAGAGTGATCCACTTACAGTGACAGTCGATATTATTTTTGATACTACCAGAAAAGATAAGGAAAACAGGCGATATTTTGCGGAATTGGAAGATGCGAAGGTGAGGAAAAAAAATCTATAAATACTATTTACAAATGTATAATTTTAATATCCTATATAATTCATCAATTGAAGACAGCACTTTCTTGTTTTCAGAAAATCGTAGCAATCATCAACGAGCAAATTGAAATGCGGCCGATACTGCTGCAAGTTTTCAAATGTATGAAATGCTCGACACAATTCTCGCAGGATATGGAATATGTGACAGCTGTCAAGTTGATGGCGGGTTTGTATTATTAGAGCATTTTTTAAGGGTTTGTTCTTTATTGTTGCTGGTGAACTAGTGCACACTGGTGCAATAAATTAAAGTGAGAGATATATTTTGTTTCACTCTAACTTACTGCACTAGTATGCACTGGTTCACCAGTGCAGCAATAAAGCACAAATCCCAAAATGATTATAAGTTTGTTCCTTATTGCTGCATTGATGATCTGAGTTGCTAATTATTGTTGAACTGATGCTGAACTGGTGTAAATTAGAGTAAAACAAAATGTACTTGTCTCATTTAAATTTACTGCATCAGTGTACATTAATTCACTAGAATAGCAATAGAGAACAAACCCTATTTATAGCTGAACTAGTTGTACTAGTTCAGAATTTATCACTTTTCTTCCAACGTGGAGTAAAAAAAATGATAAACTCTGAACTAACGCAACCAGATCAGTTGTAAAGAACGGACTTGAAAATCGTGCTCTCTTCAGGTACAAAGCAACTCAAATGTCCCACTTGTGACAGCAGTTTGGTCATCGAAATAGAGAATCTGTCTGGCATGAATACTCAGATGACGAAGAATCAGCTGACGGAGAATTCCGCAAGAATCAACTTGCAACATTCTGAATCAGTCTCCAGTATCGGTGAGCTTCTTCATGATTATATAACATGTTGCAATCCTTTATAAAGAGTGAATTGACGAAAATATACACGGGTTGTACAGTATTTAATATCTATTAATACGAAAATGACGAGCAGGCGCACAATAATTTTTGAGTTATATGCAATCAAAATTTGCCACTGATATTTTTTATTACACAGCTGACTGAGATTTAAATAGGATTATTAAATCTCATGTTTTTGCACATTTAAAAAACAAGCATATATTTTCGTTTTGATCAAACAAATATAATTACAGAAATTAATGTATAATTATTTTTATATAATTATTTTATAAACTTTAAATAATTATTTTTATAATTATGTTTTTACTTATTTACTCACATGAAAAGGATCATTATAATAAATCAAAGATATAAAATTAAATTATTTATATGTATTTTGTGACAATTTAATTTAATTTCTTATTTTCATAAAAATTGAAGAACTTGATTAATTATTAATTTAAAGAAAATAATTATTTTTTATTTTAAAATTGGAAAAATTTATTTTGAAAATTAGAAAATTTTATATGTGAAGATTAATTTATTATTATTTTTTTTAATTGCATTTTGTGGAAAAAGTGAAATTGTGTGATGTTAAAAAAATATGAGAAAGCAATTTATAAATAAATATTAAAAATATCAAAGAGATCAAATTGTTGCAACAAATATAAGCAATTTAATCTAATTTTCTTGATTTATGAAAAACCATTTAATTTTACTTTTCTTTCAAAACATAAACAAATTGAAGAAACAATAATAAATTAATTTCCTTAAATATTAAAAAAAATAAAAATAGATCTTGTTTCTCAAATATGTTAAAACGTTAGTAGGTTTAATATAATACTGTATTCAATTTATTTAATATTTAACCATTAAGTCAATTAATTATTCAAATATAATAATTAATATTTAAATTGTTGTTTAAAAAAAAATAAAATATTTTGCGTGTAACAATTTTGTTATATTAGCTAGTCGTGTCTAGTTAAAATAAAATAAAATTAGTTATACAATGAAAATCTATATTAATTTAACTTGTGAAAATCAAATAACAAATAATAAATATATGAAAATTGATATCTTTACTAGAATTTTAATAAATTTTTTTCTATTTTGTTTCTAGAAGCTATATATTGTAGACGTTGCGAATCATTCCATATATTGATAATGTTGATTTTAATTTCTACGATTATTAGAAATAATATAAAAAACATTTAAATTGTATTAAGAATAATCATGGAAAATAGTAAATCAATTTATTTTGTAAAATTTCAAAACTATATATACATTTAAATCGTATAATAATCAAAATTCTATAATAATAGATTTTATTTTCTTGCAAAGAAAACCTTGTTTATATTCTCATTAATATTTTGAAATTTAATTATAAAACATACTGTACAACTCGTGCAAAGTACATTTGTTGAAATTTTTTTTTTTTTTTACCTGATAATAATTACTTGACTTTATCTAAAAAAAATTATATTTCAATTTTGACAATCTTGTTAATTAATTGAGTGATTGCAAATGCATTCTAATGATATAGTTTATTGTGTATATTAATATATGTGATATACAGAGTGTCCAATTTTAATTTATCATTGAATAAAATAATTGATGTAAAAAAACGCATTATTTAAAAAAAAATATAGTTATTTTTAAGAAAATATATACAATTCACAATATATTTTTTCTTAAAAACAATTATACGTTTTCTTTACACCAATTGATCGGTCTCATTATTCTATGCATAAAAATGTTAAGATAAGATTACCGTAATCTGTAAACATTACTTAGCTTTTCTATTTTTTACCGTCAGAGGGCAGAGCAATCATTTCTTATAACTTCTTCAAAATTTTTAAATTGAAGTTTTTTTTTAAGTTTACCTCCTACTAGAATACTACTTCGTAGAAAAAAAATAATACTAAATGTAAAAATAAAGACTATAAACTTCCAAACTCCAAGTATTATAATTCGAAAAGCACTAAACGGAAAAATACTTTATAGTGTTTTAAAAAACTCGAGATAAGCTACAAGAATATGCAATGAAAAATAGAGGTTTCCATTTAAGAAATTGTGGGTGATCTTTATGTGATCTTCAAACGACTATTCAAGGTCAAATCAATGACACCATCTTATGTCCCCTTAGAAGTCGAAAAACTTTTATATGAAAAATTTTTCCCTACGACCGTTCCTTATTAAGTTACGAGGAGTGATAGATTAAAATTGGGTCCCTGTATACACAGACACGCATGTACGCGCGCGCGTTTGTACTTTTATTACCACATTTAATGGGAACTATAACATACTAATAACCGGTGCAGGTGGAATGGAGGGTGGAGCTAAATCCGTCACCACTTCTCTGGTGCACTCCGACTCTCATATCCAAGCTCAAATCTGTTGTAAGCTTCAGCCACAATAATTATGTTATAGCATTCTACTTTCTCTTATTCTCTTCTCTCTTTCTCTTTTATTTTCTGCTTTTTCCTCTCTTCCTCATTTTTTTCTTTGTTCTCTTTTTTTCTTTTTTCCCTTCTTTTCCTTCTTTTTTCTCTGTTTTCTCGATCTCTTGTCTTACTCTTTTTTTTCCTTTTACTTATTTCCATCTCCTCTCTCTTTTCTACCTTCTTTTTTTCTACATATTTTTTTATGAGTTATTCAGCCATCGAAAATTGAGAATTTTTCTTTTTTATCTTTTTGTTAAAAATTTTAATTTAAAAAAATTATTATTCATTTATATTACTTTAACTTTTCTCATTTTAGCGCTACAAACGTCTAATTTCTAATTTTTATATTTAGAAATATTATAATGTGCGTTACATATTAAGAAAAGAAAAAACTATCTTTTTAATTTAAAATCTTCAATTTATTTTTTTTTCTTAAATTTTTTGAAGACATTAAAGACGAAGCATTACTAATATTTTTCTTGTTTAATTAATATTTATCAATGTCAGGTTCAGCGACGAGTTTGGAAGAATCAAACGAGTCCACACCGTCTACAAATGCTTTGACAAAGAAATATGAAAGCGACATAGAAATAATCAGCAATCCAAGTCAGAGTAGCATCGAGGTTTTAGATGAAACGCTAAAGTTAGTATATAGTCAGTGTTTAGAACAATCACTTTATATAGCTTCTAATTTTTAAGTTTTTAAAATTTCTCAAAAAATTTTTTAAATTTTATTTCTTTAAGTATTTTAATTTTTTAATTTTTTGAGTTTATGATACCTCCTACTATAGAAATACAATTCTGTAGAAAAAAATACTAAATGTAAAAATATTAATTATAACATTGTATGTCTTGATTTATAACTGGAACGTTGCTTAATTTTCTATTTTTTATCGCCAGAGGACAGAGCGGTCACTTTACATAGCTTCTTCACAATTTTAAATTTCTTTAGTTTTTTTAAGTTTTTTTTTTAGTTTGAATATTAGTTTAATCTCATGTTTAAACTAATATTTCATTATGATACTCATTGGAGCAGGACAAATGTTACACCAAGTCGGAAACGTTCTATGGAGGAAAGACGTATTGCGATCGCTCCTTCCTTAATAACAATTCCAGATGCAACACCAGTGATGGCAGGCTTGACGGAAAGTAGTTCTTCAGGTTTGTATTTACTTTATCTTACTTTCTAAATATTACATATAATCATATATAATTAATATTTTATTAATATAATTACGACTCGCTTTTAGATCTTTTTTATTAAAATGGAAGAAATATATTCGTAAAAAAAAAATATATAAAAAATTAAATATATCATGAAAATTAAATATATAATAAAAATTAATTTTATTATATAAGAAATAATTTATTTATAATTTTTTTTTATATAATGTGCATCATAAGCATACAAATAATATGAATTTTTTTATAGTAATTTATACAACCAGTTTTATTTTACAGGTTCGCTGACAGACAGCATATGCACAGCATATGAAAATAAACTAGCCAAATTATCGAGTGATACGAAATCCCATAGCAGTGAGAAAGAAATAACGCCTTCTTCTGCGACGAACTTGACATCAATGCTGGGAGGTAAAGTCGGTAAATCCGTAATCACATATATTATCATAATATTAATATTTGTAGCTGAAACGTTACTTGTTAGCTTTTCTCTTTTCTTTCCGCCCGAGGACAGAACAATTATTTTACATAACTTCTTCAAAAATTTAAATTTTTTAAGTTTTTTTATCATAATATTTTTTATTATAATATTTATTATAATATTTATTGATGCAGAACAAATGTCACACCAAGTTAATGTATAAATAAAAAACTGGTAAAAGAGTAAATGCTTGCTTAAGTTTCAGCTTCATTTTTTTATCAATATGATCCTCTGGAATATATTTGTCATACTGTTATAATGTTAAATATCAGTATTTATGTCAGTAATTATGTATTGTTGTACCACTTTCAGGTTTACTTCAGAGCATCAAAATTGGCAGCAACAAAATACTGAGAGGCGAAGAAGCTTCGAGCTTCTTCGGTAGCAATGTTCAATATTCGTATACTGACTTTAGTAGTATAGATCACAGAATTAAGCTGCATATAATTTTAAATATATTCGAACACGAGAACGAAGAGTTAGTGTTTCTTCTCAAGGTATTTAACTTAATATAATTTTTTTAATTCAATATTGTATATAGCAAGTTCCTCTAAGTTCAAATTGAAATGTTTATTAATTAGAATCGTATAATTGATGGAATTATATATATATTTGTTTTATATATATATATAGGCAGAGATTTTAATGCAATCTATGCAAGAAACATTTTCTGGATGCTTAGTATTATCTACATCTAAAGTTTATATTCTTAGAATTGATGGGCCAGAAGGGTAAGTCCTGCTTATAACATATATTTTCTCACTTGATCAAATTCTAATGTCCAAAATATAAGATTTAAAGACCTTCTGATAATTTCTCTTTGTTATACCAATTTATAGTAGACTTTGAATGATTAAGAAGAGAAATATATATTTTTAGAGCAATCTCTTTTTTAATTGATTTATAAAGAAAGACCCATTTCTAAAATATCCATATGATATTTTGTGTGAGAAGCTTTCCAGAAATTTAACGGGTCAAAAAAGAGAAAAATTGATTTTTCTTTTATATATATATATATATATTTTACTATACATATATATGTATTATATAAAGATATTAATATAAAAAATATAAAAAGATATATAAAAAATTACAGGATATTGATATATAAATATCCTAATATACAGGGTGAACAAAATAAAATTTTGAAAAAATATGATTTTATTAAAAAACAAATTATTTTCAAATAATCTTAAAAATCGCTTTTTAGGAAAAAATCAGTAACGCTAATTCCCCCCCCCCCCTAAAAATCCTATAATTTCTATTTGAGAAATGTGTATAATAAACAAAACAATTACGACAGGGAGGATCCACAACGTTGGCTTCACAAGGAAATCAGTTGGACGACGGACAGATTAAGATCCTTCGTATCGCTGCCATTTAAGCAGGGTATCTTGATCGAATTACAACAACCTAGCAAAACCAGTAAAGAACTTTCCGCTATTACAGTGCTTTGCATTCTGCAAGATTTCCAGAGAACATCGAACTTCTTATTTTATATCACAGGTAATAAAAACATTCTCAACAACGATAAATATAAAATAATTTAGAGAAGTTTTAAAATCTCGCGAATTACCCTGTCAAAATCTACTTGAAATAAAAAACCAATAACTTTTAAGTTATATTTATGGTGCTTTTCCAATTACAGATCTGCAATTACCTCCCAGTTGCGAAGTAGAATTTTCCGTTCCGGACTATTTCAGCGTTTCGATGCACGATTTATTAAAAAATACTAGCAATTATCAGACTGAAGAGGTCGTACGATTGCTGGCGCTGTTTTCCTCCGCCGTTCTAAAACGTCAAAATGTTACCACCAAGCTTAAACTGTCTGGATTGATATTGACAAATACAATATTGATGATGCTGGAGGACAATGTTCAGTGGCTTATACCAGGGAGCGATCAAGCGCCTGTGATTGCTAGGGAGCAAACTATGAGCAATTTGATTGCAATAGTCAGTAGTTTTCGACTATTTATAAAATTCAAACTTTATAAAATTATTTGTAAAATTCTTTATTTCCCAGGTAACAAACTGACGTCATTTTGACGTCTAATGACAGTTTGCTACTTGGGTAGTTTTCGAGATATAATTATTGATTATAAAAGAAAAAGAATACTTTTATGCACAAAATAATAAAAGAAATTAATTGGTGTAAAGAAAACACATAGTCGTTTGTAAGAAAAAAATGTGACTACAAATTACATACATTTTTTTTATTAACAATGTAATTTTCAGGAACATTGTGACACTACACTGACTTTAAACTTTTTGGACGAGATTGTGGGACTCGAGGAGAGTTGGAGCTTGGAATTCGTTTCTCTTAGTGCTGTCGAAGCTGTGATCAGTTCTATACAGCCTTCATGGGAAGAATTGTTCTCGATACCTCTGCAAATAATTACTACAAGTAACTCTGGCGGTGTACAAAGTGACGCAGAGGAAGCTTAAATAATATATAAAAATCAAATCTTATTTGATTTTTTTTCATTCAGTTGAGATTTCAAAGCTTTTTGTCTCATACATAATCAAACCTTATTCTTACATATCAAAAATAATCTTTTCTTATCATTTTATCATTTAATCATATAATAATAATAATGACATGCATGCAAAATGAAAATTATATGCATAATAATATTTTTATAATAATATATAGCAAATATAAAGCATAGAAAAAATATTTTAAAAAAAGTTAAAAGTGCTAAGTCTATAAAGAATATATAATCTCCTTCTTCCAAATATTAATTTATTAAAAGTAAAATTTAAAGAATGATTACTTTTAAGAAGGCTTTCGTCAAAAAGCCATTCTAGTAAATATATACAATTTAGAAATTTTATATTTAACATTGATTGATTGATTGCAAGAAATTTATGATATACTTATAAAATTTATAGAGTATTTATACTATCTGCTATTTTAAAATACATACAGAGATATTTTAAAGTACTATGAAATGAAAAAAAATAATTTAATGATGAGATTTATTGGTAAAATATCAAAGTATAACAAATAATTTCTAATGGTGCTACAAGAACTGAAATATTGTTACCTGTAAATATTTCTAATTAAATTTTCTTTTCTCATACTGACTTTTTAACCAAAGTTTTTCAATAATATTAATTTCCACGCACATCTCACATAAGCCTGTTACATATTTAGTAAATTTTAATTATTCACATCCGATTGTAAATGTCTGACTGTGATATAATATATATATATATATATATATACTTTGAGTTTTACAATAAAGTCAAGACTCAGGTATTTACTGTAGATATTTATATCGCGAGGATATTATAAATTATATTTTGTATAACAAAGTAAATAGATAAATAATAAATATAAGTATAATCTTAAAGCATTCTTTTTCCCCTCCCCTTTTTCTATTAATTTTAATGTAAAAAAATATATATATTAATCATAGGAATTTTAAGAAATAATTTTCGTTTATTGATTCTCGCATTTTTGGCGCATATTACTATTATAATACGTTATTTCAGTATACTTGAAGAGAACCAAAATTATGGTCGAAACGTGAAATTCATTAAATAAATAATTACCAGTATTGGTCGAGAAATATTTATTCCTTTAATTTTTGACTAGCGATAATAAAGAATCCTAATCAATAATATATTAATTATCTATTAGATTTGCAATGATAATATAATAATTATTGTTATAAAACAATAATAATTAAAATAAGAATAATTATAAAATTTATTGTTACAAAATATTTTTTATAGAAAAATCTCTTTTATTCAATCCTTTCTTGAATTATTCATTAATATACAAAATATTTTTAACGAAGATATTTAATATTTTTCATTGATTATGATAATTAAAATAAATATTTTCAAATAGATATATATAATTATTTACAAGAAATATTTTACTCAGTCACACATGGAGTTTTACACATGCAGATACTCCCAATCGAACAATCATAATCCAAGCTAATAGAGAAATAGCATCTTCATGTTGACATGGCGAGCTCAGAAAATTCTGTATTGGCCATAGTGCACCTTCCGATAGAATAATCACAGGTTCTCTTTTATATAAATATAAAAGTAATACAATTAATGTACCCTGAAAGCATTATAAAACTCAATAAGTCATGAACCAAATAATTTCTTTAGTAAATATCTTGAGTAAGAATCCTGATCCTTTACGGTTGCAAACATTTGTGTAATTTTTCAGTTTTATTGTCATAATCTAATAAGGCTACAAATAACCTACGTACATTCAGTATACGAAAACCATAAGTAAACGTCATTTGAAGCTTTAATTTCCAACTCGATCGTTGATTCACTGTAAAAACAACAAAATATATTGGAGATATTATATATACATATAAAAATGCATATAAGATAAGATATACATATTTTGTGTATGATTTTTCAAGTAACAATAAAATATATTCATATTATAAATGGATAGGTATTTTAATGTATTTTTATTTTATAAATAGATATTTTAATATAAGTCTAAAGAATTAAAAATATTTTTTTATTTTACATTAAACTGAGTTTTTAAAAGAAATTATTTGATTCTTACAATCCTAAAAATTCTAAAAATTTATTTAAAAAATTATATTCTAAAAAAATGATAAGAATTAGCTAATCTTATCAAAGTAATTTGTAATAAGGAATAAACTTACGGTTTTCTTTTAATACACTTTTCAGTTGATTATATTTGCGTTGGAGCTTGGCGTACTTGGCAAACTCGTTCATTATGGAAAGTTTTGCCATTTCTTCTTTCAGATTGCTCATTTCATTTCGCAACTCAATGTCAAATCTTCTTTGTGCAAATACATGTGAAAAATCTATATTTTATAGAATAGAATTATAAATATATAATTTAAATATCTAAATTTGTAAAGAAAAAAAATACAAAATTTTACAAATATTTCAAAAATTAATATTAGAAAGATGAATGATTAGATTTATCTGCAATTTCTTGTTTATAAAAAATCAATGGCACAATAAATATTTATATATAGACTCCAAAAAGTGAAGAAATGTGTGGATTTAAAAAATACTCACAAATTTAATCAAAATAGGTGCAATATTGTCCAGAATACAAATCAAAGTAGTTACAACAAGTAAATTCATCTTGAATATATTATTTATAATAAAAACAGTAATAAGAAATATTCTACAATCATGATTTATTTTACAACTATTTTATAGACTTGTAAAACTTGTAGATGGAGCTTTTCACGAAAAATAAAATCCCTAGAGTTCTCAGAATTTTCTATTCTTAGGGACTTTAGGAACAATTTCCCGTCAAAAAGGGCGGAAAATTGAATTGCTAATTATCGAATAAGAGAATAAACTTGAGAAAAGTTTTTTTTAGTTTTTTTGAAATATTTGTAAACTTTCATAATTATTAAATTTTGCTTATTATTTTTAATTAAAACAAATCGTGAAAATAATATTTAAGTTAAAGTTATAGTTGCTTATAAAATTAATTTAGTTAAGAGTTGCATGTAAAAAATTAACTCACAACGTTAAAAAGTTAAGTTAAGATTAAATTAACTGAAGTTAAATCAAAAGTTAATTTTTAAAAACATTATTTATATTTAAAGTGTAAGACAGGCAATAAGAGCCAAATCGCGGATGACAGTGCGTTATCCCAACAAAACTAAATTTTTTCATTAAAATTAAATACCTGTGTACAAGGCATCAAATTTTACTTGGTCACGGCCAAGATTTAAAATTGGAATAATCTCTACAAGAGATTTAATTCCATACATCTCCTGTTTCCCCCTAAGAAAATAAATGCGAGATTATTTATATTAAATTAGAATTTTGTTTGTTAATTTTTTACAAATTTATAATAACAAATAACAAAGAAATTTTGATATTTATACAGAAATATATTTTTTGATAATTATAATTAATGACAAATAAACATAAAAATGAATAATACTTTAATTTAAAAATAATACCGTTCATATCTTATAAAAAACAACAATAGCATTCTAAGATAAAAAAATTAACTTAGAAAAAAATTAATAAGTTTAAGGTCAAAATAACTAGTTGAAGTTAAAAATAATATATTTTAAATTAACTAAGCTAAGTTAAAAGTTATTAAGACCAGGGTACCTATTACGGTTATTTGGGTGAGTTTGCTCACGAGATGAAAATCACAAAAGTGAGAGATTCACTAAATTTTGACCAATAGAAGTGTAGACAACCTAGTGAATCTCTCACTTTTGTGATTTTTACCTCGTGAGCAAACTCATCTAAAGAACCGTAATAAGTACCCTGCTGCCATTGTAGACCCCACTTAATAGTAGAAAAGCACTTGTGTCGCACACAGTTGCTTGCTGAAAAGCACCCTAAATTGTTACCAGAGATAAATAGTTGCTTAGTAATTTGTTTAGGGACATTCATTTAGGGATTATTTTGAATATCTCTAGAACAGCATTTCAATGAAGAGTTCAGCGATCTATTCTCATTATATTTTTATGGCCGTAACATCTTCGACTTGATAAGACTTTTGTAATACTTCGCCTAACGAACAGAAATCCAAAAAAAAAAAAAAATATTAAACGATTTTGCAAAGTAACGTATTGACGAACTTTGTGACATTTTAATTACCGCAACTTACGCATCTTCGTATTACAATCTCACAATGCCACGAGGTAAGTCCTTTTGTTTATATGCATGCTTGTCTTCTCATTCTTATTTTCGAAAAAATTTATTTTCACGTTTTTCTTGATTTTAATTACTGTGTGATTATTTGTTTGCGTGCAGGAAAATTCGTAAATCACAAAGGCAGGAATCGGCATTTTACGAATCCGGAGGAGCTGGAGGAACAGCGACGTCAGGAAGAGAAAAAGCAACAGTGGAGAGTCAGTATTTTTTAGGTTAACCATATACATTGCGTGTTATTCAAATATCGTGGCTGTTAAAGATCATTTATTGTATAAGCTTTTAATGCTGAAGATTTAATTTTTTCTATGATTGATTTATGAAAAAAAAATTAAAGAACAAGATATAATTATATTTGTAAATATCCCAGGTAGCAAGTTTACATCATTTTGACATCTAATGATATCAGTTCGTTACTTGGGTAGTTTTTAAGAAATAATTGTTGATTATAAAAGGGAAAGAATACCTCTAGATATTAAATTGATGTCATTAAATGTCAAAATAACGTCATTTTGATATCTAATGACATCAGTTTGCTACTTGGGTAATTTTCGAAATATAATTATTGATTATAAAAGGGAAAGAATACTCAGATAGCAAATTGATGTCATTAAACATTCAAATGATGTCAATTTGCTATATGGGCCATTTAACAAGTATATGTCATTTTGATGTCAAATGACGTCAAAATGACCACTTTCCTATTTGGGATGTCCTAACTGCTTTGTTTCCAAAAATACAGGGTGTCAAAGTTATAATGTATCAATCTTAAACATTGAGATAAGCAACTATTAATTATAACAATATTAATTGTAATTATTCAAATTTTATTTGTACTGTATTATAGTACTACTTATGAAAGTAGATCCTATTATTGTTGTTCAAAGCCGAAGGATTAACTTCAAATTTCTTTTACAGAAAAATAAGGAACAAGACAGTTCTGATGAAGAGGATGATGAAGAACCCAAAGCAAGTGGTACTAATAGGTCGAAAAATCTTGATGCCACAGATAGTGAAAGTGAATCGGAATCAGAGTCAGAAACAGAGGTATTTAAATTTAAAAAAAGTTGTTTATGTAGTATTTAATGGTAAATAAAATATATATTTTTATAATGGAATCTAATCTCACATTAATATTCTACTTGTATAGGGAGGCAAAGCTAAGGGTGTAGAGAATTTAATTGAAGTAGAAAATCCAAACAGGATACAAAAGAAGACTAAGAAACTATGCCAATTGAATCAGTCGTTAGATACTGCAAAACCAGAATTATCTCGAAGAGAACGGTATGTGTGTTAAAATTTATAATTACAAAATAATTATAAATATTTAATTTATAAAAATATTAATTTATAAAAATATTAATTTATAAAAATTATTAATTTATAAAATTTGTAATTATATAAAATTAAAAATTTTTTTTTAGAGAACAATTAGAAAAACAAAGAGCCTATGCAAATTATCAAAAATTGCATGCAGCTGGAAAAACGGATGAGGCCCGGGCGGATCTAGCACGATTAGCTATAATTAAGCAACAACGGGAGGAGGCGGCGAAACGACGGGAAGAAGAGAAAAAACAGAAGGAAATGGCGCAACAGAAAAAAACCGAGTTGACGCAAAAAGCACTCGGGAAGAAATCTTAAAATGTTTCGATAGCTCTAAAATTGATATTATACTGCAATATTAATATCTTCATCTGTGACCGAATTTTTTGGAGTAATGATAAAATTTGATGAACTAATACATATGTTTGCTATATGCGTTTTATGATATGTTAATGTCATTGTTTATATAAATGCAATTTAATTAAATCCCGCCTAGCATTCGTCTTTTTAATAATTTAATCAATATTCTATAATTAATCCCTATTATATTTTATTTATTAATAAATCATTGCTTACTATTCTTGTTTTATATACAATTTAGCTTGGAAATTAGATGTTACTTTATTCTTTTTATATTAAAATTCACATCATATTGCAAACAATTATAGCTACTCAATTTTAATTAACTTTAATATTCTTTACAATTATGCTAATAATATAATTTATTTTTTAATGATTGATTAAATTTTTTAAACAAATATTCTGTACGGAAATATTTCGATATATAGATAAAAAAAATATATACTCCATTTAAGGAATCATAATATATTTAAAATAACTTTCCTTATATAATACAATTATATAAAACAATTGGAAAAATGCTAAAAATACTCGAAATCATTAAATTAAAAGTTATTCATGAATAATAATAATAGAATGTAATAACAATAGAATATTAAAACTCAATTTCTAATTTCTTAAATAAATAAACTAAATAAAAACAAGTTATATATATAATTGTCAATAAATCCAATGTAGTTATTTAAAAAAAAATATGTAGCTACTCATTATTTAATCTTTTCTTAAAAATAACTATATTTTTTATACTATTTGATTCTTCTTATTATTTTGAAATAAAAATATTGAAGAGTGTCAAAAATAAATGGTACTTTACAAGGTATTTCATATGTCCAATTAAATTAAAATATAAGATATCTCGTAAACTATTAATTTTTGGTCTTACATTTATAACTTTTTACACCAAATATTGTGAAGAATTATATTAAAAAATGAAACTAGTTTTATTTTAAAAAACTAATGGATCGATTTTCACGTAATTTTGAAAAATGATCATCAAAATTGAAAATTATACTTTTTTCCCTCAAAATTCTTTTATTTGAAACATTTTTTGTACATCTAATTTAGAAGATGAATTTAGGCTACACTATATGTGTGTGTGTGTATGTTTAAAAAGTTTTTTCTGTATTACAAAATGTATAAACTAAAAGTTTAATAACATAAAAATTGAAGCAACACATTTTTATATGCTCTCATGGAGAGAAAATTTATTATCAGAATATTTTATTAGAAAATATATTCAAATATTTTCAGAAAGCTTAACTATAAAAACAAAGCTTCCTCTATGAGGAAGCAAAATCTGCGAATTCTATTTTAATTAGACATTTTAATTAAATTATTTTACGGTTAATTTTTAATTATACATTTAATTAAAATAATTAAAATTATGTAACAATTATTGCAATTTATCACTTTTGGCAGTTTTAAAATTCGTGATTCCTACAATCCTAATTTTTCACGAATATTATAATCAAGAACGATAAACTATATTTGATATATATTTGTAAAACATGAACGAGAGTAAACTTTATCAACGAATTAACAACCCAGATAGCCACAGTAATTATTATGACATCATTTTGATGTCAAAATAATGTCATAATAATTACTGTGGCTATCTGGGAATATAACTTACAATCTAACTAGATTTCAATTGTTTTTTTAGTAAAAAATCCGTGAAGATCACTTATATAATAACTATATATGGAACAATATAATTTGCTGAAATGAAGAAAGAAACTCGTCGACTCCTAGGTAGCAAACGTACGTTACTTTCACGTCGAATGACGTAATTTTGACGTTTAATGACATTTTGAGGTTTAATGATGTCATTTTAACGTTTAATGATGTTAAAATTACGTATGCTTGTTACCTGGTCATTGGCTGTCAAAATTACGTCATTTTGACGTTTAATGACGTCAGTTTGCTATTTGGTAGTTATTTTAAGGCTCCTGGGTCGCCGCAGTCATATCAGATTGTAATGTCAGAGGCGAGAAATCGCACGCTAAAAATTTTTTAGATGCCATTTTTTATGAGAAGATATTCCCATGAAACATTATTTCAGATATATAACTTTTAAAATGCCTCGAAAAATATTCTTTTCCCTTTATAATCAATCAACAGCTGTAAAATGACTGTAAACTTGAATATTTCATCGAAATATCCTTTCATTTTTAAATCTAAGAATTTTCAACGCCTCTGACGTCAATTCCAATATGGTCGGCCAATATTAGTCTTAATATCATCAAAGCGACTACTTTTGCCACCTGGACTCTCCGCAAAAGGTTTAAGAATACAATAACTGCGATCTTCACGAGCGATGGACTCGACTAGCATCGAAATTGAACTTTAATCATCCATGTTGGAGGAACATGGAGGAACGAGAGGAGGCAGCGGTGGCAGCGACGTCTCCTCTCCCCGGAGGAGAAAGTCCTCGCGCACCTCCTCCTCCCGGGCAGGCTCCGGCGGCGCCAGCGCGTCCTGGCCGTGCTGCTTCAAGTGATCTTTAAGGGCGAACGCCCGGCCGTACGAGGCGCCGCACACGTAGCAGCTGAACTTGAGATTGTTATCCTTCTTATGGGTCTGGATGTGAGCGCGGACGGCGTAGAGTGAGGCGAACGGTCGCGAACACTCGGTACATCGGAACGGCTTTGTGTGGCTGTTCTTGTGGCCGGCGAGCTGAACCCGAGTCTTGAACGTCTTTGGGCAGTACGGGCAGGTGTACGCGCGCTCCTCGCCGTGGGTCAGCAGGTGATGGTTGTAGACGGAGGAGGCTTTGAAGCGCTTGCCGCAGTGCTGGCAGGCATAAGGACGCACCCCGGTGTGGGTGCGCATGTGCAGGGTCAGGCAATAGGACACACGAAAGGTCTTCCCGCAAACCTACCGTCAAACAGACATCATTGTTTTTCTTTTTTTAATTTATCTATTTATATTCTCTCTCCTACATGTGTCCCACATAGTAAGTGTATGTCATTTTGATGTCAGTTTGCTACTTAAAACATCCAAAGGAACCCAAGTAGCGAACTAATGTCATTAAACATCAAAATCATTTTGATGTCTAATGACGCCATCAAAATAACGTATGCTTACTACCTGGGGAATATCTTGGATTATCTCAATAATGCCTGAGCCAACTGGAAATTTATTATGTAAAAAAATCTATATTTTTATTCCACATGTTTTATAAATCTAGTATTATAATACCAGGGGGAAAATTGACATTTATTTATTATCTTGGAACATACTTTTCCAATTTCCGACACTAGGTGGCGCTCCTCGCAATTGATTTTAGTAAAATATGACAAGTGGAATTACATGTATTCTTGAGATATATTCAAAATAAAATTAATATATCTACTTATATAGATTGTATTTAGTAACCTAATACATATTTAATAATCAATTATGTCAGCAATGGAGAAAAAGCACCAAAATAGATAATATGCCATGTTATTTTTCAATTCTAGTTCCTAGTTAAAAATTATAAAATATTTATACTTACAATTTATTAGAAAACGTTCAAACTATCACAGTTCTGATGATATTTTTTCAAACTTTCAAGTCTTTTTTGTGAAATAGACAAAAATTCAAATCTGAGAAATTAGTCTCCAAATTGACATATGTATACTTATTGAAAAACTATAGAAATGCGACAAAATTATGAAGCCTAGCAATAAATTATTAAAATATATAAAATTATTCAGTTCACAATAAAATTGTGCTGTACAATTGACTTTTAAAAATGAACATTTTAAGAATATTTTATATTTCTTTTTAAATTAAAAATTTTAATATATAATATATTAAGCAAGAAGTTCATGAGATATTTATAAAATAAATTAACTCAAAATTTGTATTTTTTTAGAATTGATACTTCAAAATAATATAATGTTTATCTATTAATAATAATAATAGATTAAATAATATAAATCAATATATAACTTGCAGGATATATGTGATTTAGGAATGATTTGTGTGTGTGTGTAATTAAGATATTTTAAGTATTTTAATAAATTGAATATATTTTAATATAATTTTGTTAACTTCAAGAAAAAAAAACAAATAAAGAGGAAAAAAATAAAGAGTGATGGCAAATTTCGCCCATTTTAGGACCTTGCATTTCAAACTATTTGTTATGGCAAATAGTACTATTAGATGAAATATTAATCCCATTAAAATTTCAAAATGAGTATAGGCATGATTCCGGAGATACAAGGGGGTAAAAGTGATGATTTCTAGTCGGGGATGAGAAACGGTTCCGGATATATGAAGAAGTGAAAGTGATAATTTCTCATACACCCTAACTAGAAATCATCACTTTCACTTCTTCGTATCTTCGGAACCGTACCTATGCTCATCTTGAAATTTCTTAGGGATTAATGTCTCATCATATAGTATTATTTGACATAAAAAAAAGTTTGAAATTTGAGGTCCCAAAATTCGACTCTATAAAATACGCGAAAAAACAGGTCTTTTTGCCATCACTCTTTAGAAACAAATATATAAAATAATCAAGTATTATTAAAAAATATGCATCGCGGTCTTTGAATTATATATATATATATATATAGTTTTCAAGGAAAATCACAAAACTTCAACAACTTTTAAGCTCCAAAGATTCGAGGTAATATACAAAAAATAAGAACTACAGCAAAATAAGAAAAAGTAGAATAAAAAAATAAAATAATGTCGATTTTGGCGCCTTTCTTTTTTATGCATTAAAGCAACACACTCTTCCGTACAATAACCTTTCCAATGAATCTTGCACTACACATATCACTTTCTTTCGGCAATCAAGTGTATCACTTTATTTCTCAAAAGCTACGCGTCTATGTTCTCAAGGCTCGATTATACCGATTGTATTCATCTACCTCGCAAGCATGCGGCTTCTCTCCGGTGTGAATTCGTTCGTGTTTCACTTTTTCGTGGGGTCTGGTGAATCTGCGACCACAATGCTGGCACTGATAGGGTTTCTGGTTGTCTCCAGTTTCCGTCGGAGTCGCCGCCGTCGTCATCGTGGTGGTCGCCGTCGTCGTCGTCGTCGTTGTTGTCGAAGATGTTGTCGCAATCATCGTCGTCGTTTTGACTGTTGTTGCTGTCGTCTCTCTGGCTAATGGGGTTAAAATCGTAGCAGGCGAAGTAGGCGAATGTGGAAGTCCTATTTCAGTATGAACGGCCGCGTGCATCGTTAAACTGTCGGCAGAGTCGAATTTACGGTTGCAAACAGCGCACGTCACCGAATCACCAGTGTGTAGTGCCATGTGCGTGTCCTTATACGATTCTGATAGCGTTTTACCTGCGAAATATTAAGTAGTTTGAAAAAAACTTAAAAAACTTTAAATTTTAAAGCTATATAAAAAAACTACTCTGCTTTCTGGCGGTAAAAATAGAAAACTAAGCAGCGTTTCAGCTAAAATCGAGATATACAATGTTATGACTGATATTTTTTACATTTAGTATTTTTTTTTTTTTTTTTTACAGAATTGTATTCCTATAATTGGAGGTAAACTCAAATTAAATAAAACAAAAATTTGTGTAAAAAAAATTTTTAAAACTTAAAAGTTTGAAGAAACTATATAAAATAATTATTCTTTTGCCGATAAAAATAGAAAAACTAATAATCAGCAATGTTCCAGCTATAAATCAAAACACAATGTTACAATTGTTTTGTTACTGGAAAACACTTGATGAAAAAAATGCTAGGAAGATATAACCAATTGGTCAGAGCAATTATTATTATTGATTAGACTTGATTATTATAACATATTTCAGTATTATATTTTTAATTATTGGTATATTATTAAATAAATAATATATTTATGTAATATAAATTAAATAAAGTCAAATTATTTGAAAGAGTAAGAATTGAAAATAGAATTTATTACCGCATTCAGGACAAGTGAAGGTCGCATTAGGGGTTCCTTCGGGTGCGTCAACGTGTCTGGCTCTTACCGGGGCGTGCATTCTTGAATGCAAACGCAAGCTCTTGTGGGAACAGAATTCCGTACCGCAAATGGTACAAATGAATGATTTTTGGCTCGGATCAATCTCGCCCTCGTGTACTTTTACGTGGAGTTGCAAGGCCTTAGGTGTCGCAAAAGTTTGATCGCAGTGCTCGCAGCGATTATTGCCGTGTAGACAGGCGTGCACGCGAAAGTTACCCAACTTGGAGAATTGCTGCAGGCACTGATTGCATCTGTACATCCGCATTGACGCAGTCGCCAGACGCTTCTCTCGTACCTACAAAAGTATACATCAGAGATGTTAAGTCTTATATGTAATTTCTTACATAATCTCTTTCTTATGAAGTATTCTCCAGCAACAAATAGTCACACATTGTGTATCTCTTTATTATATATAAAAATATTATATATTTAACATATTTAATATACTTAAAATAATTTAAAATAAAAACATTGTTGAGAAACTTATATCAATTCCATGTTAAACAATTTCTTTTAAGTTTTTAAATTTTTTAAGTTTTTTTTTAAATTTACCTCCTATTATAGGAATACTATTCTGTAGAATAAAAATATTGGTCATAACATTGTATGTTTCGATTTCTAACTGAAACGCTGTTTAGTTTTCTATTTTTTACCGTTAGAGAGTAGAGCAATTATTTTATATAGCTTCTTCAAATTCTTAAGTTTTTTAAATTTCTAAAAAAAATGTTTTTTTATTTTTCTTTAAATTTGTTTAGTTGTCGTCTGTATATGTTGCTGGAAAACACTCGAAGTCTCGCATAATCCTTAAAATATTTCGCACGAGATTATTCTATCGTTAAAAATCAAGCGTAATTTTTTAAATTATCGCACCTTAACACCTTCCACATTCGAAAAGAATTTCTCAATCATCGGAGCTTTCGCTGACGATTGCGATGTAATCTGGATCGGTGTACGGTCCCAAAATCTCTCGATCTGGACTACCTTTCTGGTGTAGAATCTGCCTTCGTTGTCCACACATTCCTCTGTACGAAGCGTATTCATGGTCTGCCGTTGTCGTCCTGTGTTATTCACGTTTTCTGAATCTTCGGATATCGCGGATACCTGGTTCGCAGGCGACGCCAGATCATTTAACTGCTCCGCCATCTCCAGCAACACTTCCTGACCGTCGTGGAACTGCTTGATGTGCTCCAGAACAGAGTTGAAGCTGATGTCGCAGCTGGTGCAGCTATATACAGCATCGGATTCCTGGAACAGAAGCAATGGACACTATTATTAGTTATAAAGTACTAATAGCAATAAATAATTTGATAAGATGGATTGAAATAATTTTCTCGCTCAATATTTTTTACATCGCATAGTTCTTGCTTGACGCGCAAAAGCCCAGTCTCGTCGATTTCTTCAGTTTCATTTATATGATCGACGTCGATCAGGGTGGAAGCGTCTAGAAATTCGGAATTTTCGGGTAATACAGCAATCACGCTCTTCTCCGTCATCTTGCTGTCTACACTGGAACTTGATACTGGAACAGCCACCAATTCCTGCATTGGCTGTAGCCTCCTTTGCATTCTGCCATCTCTGACGCCGGAGAGCCCTTCGGACATCTTGAAATCCAGAGAATTTTGATCTGGTTGTATTTCTTCTGCGTCCATCTTTTCTACGACTTTAATTTCTCCTGATGTTTTCATTAGAAATAATATTCATTTTTGGGAAACCCTCAGTTCAACAAAGCAGTAAGTTCTACGAACCATTCTCATCCATTTGTAACATCTGTGGGTCCCCCATTATAACAATTCCATTGTCGCTCACTGTTGCAAGGAAGCTCCGATTGATCTGCACTTTAGCATCCTGAAATCATTGATTATGTTTACTCAATTTCAAGATATAGTTTGAAGAGAAGATGGATTAACAAATATTTGGAATATATGATAAGTATCTTAAATCGCTTCAAATATTATTTGAAATTAATAAATCAGGCTAAATATACCATGTACTAACAGAACATTTTAACTCTTCAAATATTTGAAATTTTTTATTAAGTATTTATATTATCTTATTTATAATATTTGTAGTGTCAATTAAATTTTAAATATAGATTACAATTATTTCTGTGTATTATTATTACATCAAAAATAATACATTAGAAATATATTAAATATTTAGAATCAAAATGATAAATATATCACTTAAAATTAATTTTTATATTAATATTTAAACACAAACAATATAAAATTTAAATATTTAAATGATATTTTATTATTTCGGAAAATATTGATATACAAATTTTATTATTTTGGAAGATTCTATTGTTTTTAGACTGTCAACAAAATATTTTAATGTAAAAATTTACATATAAATAAACATACTTTATTCAGTTAAAATTATAGTTTCTGATTTCAATATTAAATATAATATATATTAATATATTTATTTAAAAAATTATAAAATAAATCAAATAAATCAAATAAATAAATTAAATTAATTAAATAAATATAATAAATAAAATAAAATAAATTTTAATTTTTTTCTGTCTACCAACCATTTTAACTTCAGAATCCTTCAGGATGAGTTTATCCGTCAGAACGTCGAGCCTGACCTTGCGCTCCAAATCTTGCTCGCATTTGTCAAGATGCTGAATTAGGGCCGCAACGGAGTCGGAACGTTGCGAACAGCCGGGACAATAAAGATTGTCCGTCATACTTAACAGGTGATACTTAAGAGACTGTGGATTATTGAAGGTTTCGCCGCAGCACATCGGGCAGATGAGACTCAGTGAGCCCATAATTCGAAAAATAAAAACTGTTCAAATTCCCTCGAAAGTTACGACGTTTTTCCTATATCCTATACTTATACTTGGCGCGGACCGAACCCTCTCTAACCTAGGAAAAGGTTCGGGGAAAGCGAGAAGTTGACGTTGGTGACTTAATAATATAGCGAAAAAAATCCTCACTTCGTTCCAAGTTTTATTCGGCGAAATTAACTGCTAAGCCAAATCGGACTCCTCTCTTTCTTTTGTCAATGCGGCCCATAATAATGAACTGGCAGCCCTAGTCACGACAATAACAAATCCATCTGGGACCAACTTCAGGCCGCAAACAAATGCCGAGCACGCGGAGCGTGACCATCGTAAAGTTGGAAGATTATTATAATAAATGAACGTCTCGAAGTCAGCCAATATTACCAGGGTTAGGTTAGGTTAATAATTTTTTTAAAACACAAAATTAACTTAAGTTAAAATTAATAAGAGGCTTGTTTTCTGTTTCTGCACTAATAAAAGTGCACATAGGTGCAATAAGTTAGAGTGAGACAAAATATACTTGTCTCATTTTAACTTATTGCACTAATGTGCATTATAGTTTATTAGTGCAGGAACAGAAAACAAGCCTAAGATTAAATTAATATTGGAGTTAAATCAAAAGTTAATTTTTTAAAACATTATTTATATGTTAAATTAGAATTTTGTTTGTTAATTCTTTTGAAGTTTATTATAATAACCAATAAGAAAGGAATTTTGATTTTGATATAGAAAATATTTTTTGATAAATAACTAATTATAATTAATGATAAATGAACATAAAAATTAATAATATACTTTAATTTAAAAATAATAATACGTTATAACTTTTATGAAAAAAAACAATATAATATGATATTTAAAGATTAAAAAAATTTAACTTGAAGAAAAAATAATTAAGTTAATAAGTCAAAAATATAACTATAATTAAAGTTTTACCAATTAATAATACATTTTAAATATTAATTAAATTAATAATAACCCATACAGCACAGATTATTGCAATTATATTGCAGCAACGTTGCAATGTTGCAAGTTGCAATGCAACATTATAAAGACATTGCAGAGATATAAGTGCACAAAATTCCAGCACACTTGTAGCAACATGACATTAATATTTCGGAAATATTGCATGTAATCCAAATTCTATAATTTATATATTGTAATATATATAAATTAACTACAACGTATTTTCATTAATGATTTATTTACATTTATATACCTGTATATGCAACATTAGTTTATGGTTGCAATAACAATGCATTATTGCAAACTCATAACATATTGCAATATTGTTGTAATATTTTGTTGCAATCTTCCAAAAAGCGGACATTTTAACATTGCTGCAATTCAACAGCAATGATGTAGCAACATTTTGCAGTGAATTTGCAATATTGCAATATTGCGGTGAAAGATTGTTGTAATGTTTTTGCAATCTATCGGTGCTGTATGGGAAGTTAAAAGTTATGAACAAAAACTTAAGGTAAAGTTAAGATTAAATTAACTAAAGTTAAATAAAGAATTAATTTTCTAAAATATTATTTATATATTAATAAATTAGAATTTTGTTTATCAATTCTTTTAAAATTTATAATAACAAATAACAATAAAGAAATTTTGATTTTTATATAGAAATATAATTTTTAGTAAGTACAATTGATGACAAATAAACATAAAAATTAATATAATACTAAATTTTAAGTACGTTTATAAAAAAACATTAATATGCATATAGTATTCAGAAATAAAGAAAAATTTAACTTAGGAAAACAATTAATAAGTTTAAGATCAAAAATAACTCATTGAAATTAAAAAGTTAATACATTTTAAATTAATTAATTAGCAAGCTAAATTAACTTTTCAGTTTTTTTTTAACTTTTATAATTATTACCCAATCTTGGTAATTACTATATTAATGAAATTTTACATCTTTAATTTTTATTAAAAATTTCTATTTAAAAAAATTGATGCCGGAGCGTTGGCCGAACTCCGACGGGTTAGCACCACACATATCTAAACATATGCACGTATACACATAACACATGATAGGTTAGCACCACACATATCTAAACATATGCATACGTATACAACACATACGCGTAAAAATGTTTTTAATATATAACTTTTTTATTAGACTTGCAATCTCACTTTTAATCGTTTACTAATAATTCTTCATATTATCCTTACCGCGCATACTATATTTCATGCACAGACACAAACTGCAGAACTTTTTTATTAAATAAGTATTATTACGAACTGACACAAAGCCGCCGATAACAAAACTGTAATTTTTGATTTTTATATGATTTATATATGCAAACATAGCTAGCGCGGTCTGTTTTTATAAGTACTTTAATCGTGGAAAAGGATTTATTGATCAGTATAGTCAATAAAAAGTTATATAAAAAAACTAAATATTCTCGCATTCGGTCGGTAAAAACATCATCCGGCATCCCCTTAAGTCGTAAGAAAATGAACCAATCATATTCGATTATTGTTTTATATTCTAATGTGACTGCATGATCTATTGTAGATGTAGCTTCAATGTGAGATAATTTTTCGTTTTTAATACAAATAATGAACGAACGCTATAATTAGACCAACAATCATCAGCAAACGATTATGCATCGATTAGACCGTTTTTTAATTAAAAATGAGATTTTTCCGGCTAACTTCACGCTAATTTTGTTTTTTAATTTAAAAAAGAAATATAAACCAACAAATGTTGTAATTAGGCCAACAATCACCAATAAACGACCAACAAACGATTAAAAAAATAAAAAATTAAAAAAGTCAAAGTCAACCGGCTAAGCTCCCGGAGCTAAAAATAAGAAAACTTTTATTTAAAAAATGTCTTTTTTTTTAATATTTACATTATTATGATATACAAATAAAATTTATTTTAAAAAAATATTTTTATAAAATATAATGAAATAAAAATTATGTACATATACATACACACACACACACACACATATATATATATATATATAAATTTTATTCTAGAATTTTATACAAAAAAATTTTTTTTAAAATTGATTTAGGGTTTTTAAAATATTTGATAGATACATATAAAATAACTCCAGATTTGTTTGTATATATTTCTTTTTTTTCTTTTATATATAGAAATTTACACATGATATATTTTATACATTTACATGATATATTTTATACATACATATTTACAAAGTTTTTTTATAAATAAATAATTCAATAATAAAAAAATCTGCTATTTAATCGACATGTTCGTGTTGTGCGTTACTCTCACGCCAGGTATTCTGAATAAGCTCGACAACCTGTTGCCACCATCTGCTGCGCGATGTAAAGTACAACACACAAGCAATAATAAAGACCCATGACAATACCAGACAATAATCCATTTCGTTAGAAGGTGTGCTAGCAATCGGCCCCATGAAATCCGCCGATGTAACGTACAGCGAGCCATTTGGTTGCAGATTTGTCAGATGAGACACAAATTTGGCGAACAATTCCAAAGTGTAGACAGTATCGTTGAATTTAGCGACGGGTTTCCCATTGTGAACCAGCATCAACGTTGGCACTCCAACTATTCCATACTGAGCATTGAAGCTGAAAACGAAGACATTGTTTATTATCAATTTCAAAAACTGAATTAAAAAAATTGAATATGAAAATATTTCGCTTCTATAGACATTTGCTAATTATATTTATAATTATTTTCCAGTTTTCTATAGATATTTTCTAATTATATTTATTTATAATTATTGGTCAATTATATATTTAATATACAAAGTGTTAAATTTCAAACATAACAAGTAGAGTATCTTATATATAATGCATTTAAAAAAAAATGTTTCAAATAAAATATATTTTATATTCAGAAATAAATATTTTTATCGGCTCTCAATATAAAGAATATAAATATGATGTTTTTCTAAATCGGCCAACAGAGCCAAAGCACGAAAAATTAATTATTCGGAACTGTACCTCTTGGTTTGAGATCACAAAGTTCCATATATAAATTAATCTCGAAACTTACATATGGAGAAATAGGCGCGAAAAATATAGGTCCGAAAAGTCGCTGAAGCGGGAATCGAACCCGCGTTATATATTTTATATTATATAATAGTTAATATTGTGTTATATTATTATACAGGGTGTCCCATTTTAATGTCTACTTCAAATAACTTTTATTTTTCATTGTAGAAGAAAATTATATGGTTTCGAGGACATAAGTAGGTATGATTATTGAAAACTGAATATTTTACATTTTATGTTAAACAATTCTTAACTTCGAACCTTTATAACTCAAAAAGTACTTCATGAAAAAATACTTTATTATATAGGGTTTTGGAAAGCTCTCGAGATAAGCTACAAGAATATATATGCAATAAAAAAATATAAATAGTTCCATAAGAAATCAAAGGTGACCTTTACGTGACCCTCGAGCAACTATTCAACGTCAAACTAATGGCACCCTCGAAACCATATCATTTCTGTCTGAAACATTTTCTTCTACAATCAAAAATGAAAAATAGGTGGTTTTATTCAAGTAATCAAAGGTGACCTTCAAGCAACTATTCAAGGTCAAACTAATGGCATCCTCGAAATTATATAATTTTTGTCTAAAACATTTTCTTCTACAATCAAAAATAAAAAAGTTATTTGGAATGGGACATTAAAATGGGACACCTGTATATTTTCTATATATATGCTTATACCTTTGGTGTTTTATAGCATCAATAGCTACAGCTTTGATATGAGGGAATGAACGTGGTATGGCATTGAAATGTGGCGCAGCTTGATTGCTGAATATGCACCATCTGGCATAAAATAATACTACAACACAGGTTCCTGGCAGCTGCTTGCCATCTTTGTCGTTCCTTGATCGATTAGATGGACCAGGTTCTAAGATTAGTAGCTCCATAAGTCTCGTTGCATTGACAATCTATAACGCATAAGAGGAATTAGAAACATTATTTCTTCAATACACATTTTATATGTAATATTATTTTATATGTTGCACCTCAACAGGACCGTATATCTTCTCCGCTGAACAATTAATTTTTGTAACATTAGTTGAGACAGTATTAGTGGCGTTAACTACCACTTCAGGATTTTCTTTTACTGATTCTTCTTCATTTGCATGTACTTGTGTATTTTCTTGCTGAGTAAAAGCATCTTTCAATATTGTTTCTGTCATGATTTCTTCTGTAATTTCATTGTTATTAATTTCCATCACTTCAGGATCTACTTTTATAGGCTCTTCTTCGTTTGTATGTACTTGTTGAGTAAAATCTTCCAATATTGCTTCTGTCAGAACTTCTTCCACAATTTCATTGCTGATTACACTAGAAACTAGAATACATATAATCATTAAATGTTTTCGCTTAAAAAATTAACTGCAGAATTTTATTATTTATCTGTATCAAATTAATATACTTAAAAAATGTGTATTACAAATATATATATAAATTTGATATATATTTTGCAAAAACATTGTTTATATAATTTAATTATTACATATATTTCTCGTAACTGTGTAAAATAAGTACTGAAAATATATATAACTAATTTGTTTTACCTAAAATTAAAAAAGGCACAATAAAGTTTACAAAATTTCCTAATAAGATCATCTTGTGCAATCTTATCTAGTCTACAATAAAGCCACGACAAAAAATGATGTATAATCAAATTGAATTATATTTAAACATTTTTTTTGCTTATAATCTTATTTTAATAATTTATTTCAACACAGAAATGACAAACTCGATGAACTTTATACTATCACAGTTGATATTTATCCATGATATTTATGCAGATGATATATAAGAAAATAGATGACTAACTCTTGCCAGAGAGAAACCTAAGAGCGGCCACCGAGATTTAGCGGCCGCGTGTACTAGTGCGCCCCCTGACAAAGTGGACATAAACTACATCGTGACGCTCGGTCAAAAGTACGGTAAATGGTTCGATTCCGCGATATGGTTCATGTCTGAACTATTCAGCTAACAATAAGAACCAAGTTGAGAACCGAACAGCTGAGTCAGGCAAGGACAAACGATTCATCGCTCTGGCTTTGTCTCACTTCACCGATGCGTCTCGTGGACGGCCGCAGGCACGAGGTTTCGCCTTTCGCGCGTAGCGTTTGCGTAATTCGAGGGTTATAATTTTTATGACGTTAACTTTGGGCAATATATCAAAAAATGATGTACATATCTTTTTAATTTGCTTTTTATTAAAATATTTTATTATTTATTTTCCAGCCCAAAAGTCATTATATAGAGATGACTTACTAAATATTTGAAATAGAATAAAAATATTTTGCCAGTAAAGGGATAGGGCGGTAAAGTTTACAATTAATTATTTTCAGGAAAAATTAATTTAAACAATATATGGCAATTTTTATATTCGGCTCGGTTAAATTGATTTTCGAGAAGTCGGCGTAGTACATACATTATAAAGTCTGCGGTTATCATGTTGACTCGGGTGCATTATTAGATAAATAATTAAAATTTGATAACCTGTCTAATTAAAAATTATCCGATTTATGTCGTGTTTGGTGTCATTTTAATCGCAAAAGCTTCAATAATTCATTATAAAATTATTTTCAAACCGATAAAATGCAAAATACCAAAATTTTATTTTCTATAGTAACCCAGCAAACACCGATATATAATTGTTACATTGCTATAATAAAACGGAATATAACAGGCAATATAACGTGTACGTTACATGTAACATCTATGTTAGTTGTACTTTCCCACTCATAGATGTAACATTTTAATATAACATATATTACATTGTAGTTATATTGTAATTATATACCAAATAGCACATTGATGTATTGATAAGTCAGTGCTATCTTGGGATATAATGACAATATAACTACAATGTAATATATGTAATATTAAAAATGTTACATCTATGAGTGGGAAATTACAACTAACATATACGTTACATGTAACATGCTTAAGTATATAACATTTATATATTGTGTTTGCTGGGAACATGTGAAATATGAGACGAAAAATGATAGAAACAAAAAATCTCTCACACTGTTTTTTTTTCATTTACCAGGAGTGTAAGTTGAAATTTGCCGGTTTTTACAGTAGGTGTCGCTAGCAGGACGTAGGCATTTCTATGATTTGTTATATACACGATTGTTTTCTATTGACATTAACCTCCAAAAACACCCAAGTCTCATTCTGTCAAAATAATAGCGTCATAGTCGTTTATATCAATGAATATGTCGAGTTTTGTTCCAAATAAAGAGCATTTGCGGCATTCGCTGCTTTTCTTATTTCATCAAAAGAAAAAAGCAGCTGAAGCACATCGTTTGCTAGTAGAAACTTATGGTGAACATGCTCCAGTGATTAGAACATGTGAGACATGGTTTTGTCAATTTAAAAGTGGAGATTTCGATTTGAAAGACAATGAACATCCTGGCGCAGCGAAAAGGTTTGAAGACGAGGATTTGCAGGTGTTGTTGGATGAAGACCCAACCCAATCACAACAAATATTGGCAGAAAAACTTAATGTGTCCCGAGTAGCAATTTGCCAACGTTTAAAAGCCTTGGGAAAAATCCAGAAGTATGGAAAATGGGTGCCACACGCATTGAACGACAGGCAAATGGAACATCGAAAAACCATTTGTGAAATGCTGCTTCAACGGTTTGAAAGGAAGTCTTTTTTGCATCGGATTGTCACGGGTGACGAGAAATGGATTTTTTTTGAGAACCCGAAGCGAAAAAGATCATGGCATTCACCTGGTGAAGCCGCCCCATTCACTGCAAAGCCCAATCGCTTTGGCCGTAAGACAATGCTCTGTGTTTGGTGGGACCAGGGGGTCAATTGTGTAATTTTTTCTAAAGTGAAAATGTGAAAAGTGAAAAATTTCTTCCAATCACACATTGATTTTCTTTTAAAATCAATGCGTGATTGGAAGAAATTTTTCACTTTTCACATTTTCACTTTAGAAAAAGTTACACAATCGACGCCCAGGATGGTGTGGTGTACCACGAACTATTAAAACCTGGTGAAACGGTAAATACGGATCGCTATCGACAACAAATAATCAATTTGAATCATGCGTTGATTCAAAAACGACCGGAATGGGCCCGAAGACATGGCAAAGTTATTTTGCAACATGACAACGCGCTGTCTCATACCGCTAGATCCGTGAAGGACATATTAAAACACTTAATTGGGAAATATTATCGCACCCGCCGTACTCTCCAGACCTCGCCCCGTCCGACTTCCACCTTTTCGCATCTATGGGGCACTCACTTGCAGAGCAGCACTTCGTCAATTTTGAAGAAGTTGAAAAATGGCTCGTCGAATGGTTTTCCTCGAAAGAAAAAAAGTTTTTTTGGAATGGTATCCATAATTTGCCTGAAAGATGGACCAAATGTGTAAAATCAAATGGTCAATACTTTGAATAAAAATATTTTGAGATTCCCCTGAAAATTATGTTTTTTTAACGAAAAAACCGGCAAACTTCAACTTACACTCCTGGTATGTAAATTAAAATATTTATTTATGTAAAATAAAATTAATTTAACAATTTTGTTTTTTTTTTTGCACTTGCAATTTTTTTATACAGATACATAACTGAATAATTTTTATTTTATATAATCTTATTTTATAAAATAAAGCAAATAAAACGCTATTGTAAAAGTTAAAAAAGTTAAAAAAATTAAATTAATTGTTTTACATAATTAAATATTCTAATTTGCATAAATAAAAAAAGTGTCAGTGACAGGAATGCACCCGAGTCAACAGCATGATAACCGCAGACTTTATAATGTATGTACTACGCCGATTTCTCGAAAATCAATTTAACCGAGTCGAATATAAAAATTGCCATATATTGTTTAAATTAATTTTTCCTGAAAATAATTAATTGTAAGCTTTACGTCCTATCCCTTTACTGGCAAAATATTTTTATTCTATCTCAAATATTTAGTAAGTCATCTCTATATAATGACTTTTGGGCTGGAAAATAAATAAAATATTTTAATAAAAACAAATTAAAAAGATATGTACATTATTTTTTGATATATTGCCCAAAGTTAACGTCATAAAAATTATAGCCCTCGAATTACGCGAACGCTACGCGCGAAAGGCGAAACCTCGTGCCTGCGGCCGTCCACGAGACGCATCGGTGAGATGAGACAAAGCCAGAGCGATGGATAGTTTGTCCTTGTCTGATTCAGCAGTTCGGTTCTCAATTTGGTTCTTATTGTTAGCTGAATAGTTCAGACATGAACCATATCGCGGAATCGAACCATTTACCGTACTTTTGACCGAGCGTCACGACGTAGTTTATGTCCACTTTGTCAGGGGGCGCACTAGTACACGCGGCCGCTGAATCCCGGTGGCCGCTCTCAGGTTTCTTTCTGCTCTTGCATTTCTCTTCAAAATTTAAAGTCTCTAGAAGATAGGGACTTCTAGGGACTTTTCGGTCGACTTTTATAAGTGACAGAGTCGACTTATAAAAAGATGACTTTCTGATCGCCGTAGAGTTGGCAGAGGAATTGAATATTTGTCCAATCGCATGCGAGAATCCTTAGTTACTTCTAGGGACTCGCGCAAATGTCATCGTTGCGCGTGCGCGGGCAATTTTAATTTGGCCGGCCTGTGACACTAGTCACGCAGTAACTTCACTTGACGAGACTACTTGTCTCAGGTCAGTCTCTTTTAATCGACCGGCCATGATGTTGAGTGCGGTATCGAAGGCGGCCGCTGGTGCCCTGAGGATTGCTAAACCCTCCCTCATTCAGAATGAGGTGACGAAGGCATCATGCGCCTTCGCTGTAAACAGTGAGTATTGCATTATCAATATTTAATATTTTTAATTCAAAGTATTAGAAGCCTCGTCGACAGATTTTTGCGAACCGCTCCTTCATCGAATAAAACATTCCTGGAATAATCAAGGACCATTTAAAATCACGATTTAAAAAATGATTAATATATATATATATATTTAAATTTGACATTTTAAATAGATAATTGAGATGTAGAGAAAAATATATTCGTCCGCGATTATATAATCGATGAAGAGATGCGGACTCTTACTCTGCAATATGGCGGCCCAAAAGTCACATTCGTTCATGTTATTCGATATTGATTCTAAATGCAATTATTTTATACTACAGAAAATTTATTGCATGTAAAATTTTTTTTTTTTTTTTTTTTTTTTACGATTATAGAAAACGCGTCATTCCTATTTATTTTTTATTCTTTGAATATTTTCTTTTAGAATGTTTTTCAATATATAATATAATATTATATTAAACAAGATTTTGCAAAAATTTTAATAGATAATAAGTTATTACAGCATTTACATACGCCAATATTTTTATGTTATGTAATATAACATTTCTTCAAACATATATTTGGATAAAGAATATACTTGTATGTAGAATTTTTACTTTATGATTTATTTAATTATTTTTCATTTTATGATGAGAAAAGACGCATAATTTTTCTTTGAAGGATTTTCCCATTTTTTATTTGAATATTTTCTCAGAATATGTTTCAATATATGACAAAATTATATTAAATTACAGTATTTACATATACAAGTATATATTTTTGTTATGTAATATGTTTCTAGAATTTGTCAAGTCAATCCTCGTATTTTATTATTTAATGTTTTTTTTCGATAAGGAGATTAAGGAAGATATTTAATCTATTGATTTAATTATATATAAAGCTTTCTTTATGTGTTATTTTACGTTTCTTTACGTGTTATTTCAAATAGAAAGAGATTACGCAGCGAAAGCTGCAGCTGCGACAAAAGGTGGTGCGCAAGGAAAGGTAGTTGCTGTCATTGGTGCTGTGGTTGATGTACAATTTGAAGATGCCCTTCCACCAATTCTTAATGCCTTGGAGGTGCAAAATCGTACACCCAGGCTGGTACTTGAGGTTGCTCAACATCTTGGAGAAAACACAGTGCGCACTATTGCCATGGATGGTAATACTTTGTGAATATTATATAATATATAAAGCTTATGAATTTTTAATATGTGTATTTCTCTAACATTAAAATGGTCAAAATACTATAATTCAAACTTATAAATGGGGCAATAATTAGACAATTTTGTATTGCTAGATTGTTTGCAGATTTCTGAGAATAGCTTTTTTTATGTAAACTCTTCCAATTAAAGTACATCATAAAATATTATAGTAAAAAAGAAAGGAATGTTCTTTGCAGATATTCTCAGCATTCACATGTTTTCAAAAAGTCACATACGGGACTGGAATTATATAAAGGCTTTATTTCTTCCAAAACAGAAATATTAAAGCCTATTTTGTCCTATTGAATTTGATTATAAATTTCAATTTGCATTTTAGTCCTTTATGTTCCCATTATTTTCTAAAGATCAAAACGTTGATTTCTAAAGGATGAATCAGACACTTTCAGCTAATCACACTTTTTAGTAAAATTATTATTTCATTACTTCATTAGAATTATATTTATAGTACTTTCTTCCAATCATAGATTTTTTCCTGACGAGTTTATTTCAATCCATGATCTACATAAATTAAAATCCTGTAATTGAAGCATTAATTATTGTGTTTTAAATTAAAATTTAGCACAAAATTAGAACCTGTTATAAATTTCGTATTGCAGGTACGGAAGGTCTGGTACGTGGTCAAAATGTTTTCGATTCTGGATATCCTATTCGTATTCCTGTGGGAGCCGAAACTCTGGGTCGCATTATCAACGTCATTGGTGAACCCATCGACGAACGCGGACCTATCCCTACGGATAAATTGGCCGCCATTCACGCAGATGCCCCCGAATTTGTAGAGATGTCTGTCGAGCAAGAGATTCTAGTCACAGGCATTAAGGTCGTGGACTTGCTGGCTCCTTACGCAAAGGGTGGAAAGATCGGTGAGGCGATTATTGTAATGGAATTAATTTAAAAACTACAAGAAAACTTGTTTTTTTTCTTCTTGGTCGAAAATATTGAGCCAAGACCATTCGCACTATTATTAAATTATAATTTAATAAATTATAAAATATAAATTATCTTTATATTATTCACTATAGGTCTGTTCGGCGGTGCTGGAGTCGGCAAGACTGTACTCATCATGGAGCTGATCAACAATGTAGCTAAGGCTCATGGTGGTTATTCGGTATTTGCCGGTGTAGGTGAGAGGACGCGTGAGGGCAACGATCTCTACCACGAGATGATCGAGTCCGGCGTCATTTCCCTTAAAGATAAGACCTCTAAGGTAGCGCTGGTGTACGGGCAGATGAACGAGCCGCCTGGCGCTCGTGCTCGCGTAGCTCTCACCGGACTCACCGTCGCCGAATACTTCCGTGACCAGGAAGGGCAGGATGTACTGCTGTTCATTGATAACATTTTCAGATTTACCCAGGCTGGTTCCGAGGTGAGGAAAGAGATATAAAAATTTAACAAAGACCAGTGGTTGCGAGTGACACTAGCGCCATCTTGTGTCAAACATTACAAATTTACATTTTCGGGACGAAATTTTAAAAGTCAATATCCCTCCAAGGAAGCGTTTTACGAGCAAACTTCCAGATAAAATATTTGTTTATTTTGAGATCCTAAATTCGTATTTTAAGTTTGGCTATTTAATCTGAAAACACCCTGTATATCAACGCATTTTTCGAGTATCTTGTATAATACACACACACACACACATATATATATATATATATATATATATATTTCAGGTATCTGCCTTGCTAGGTCGTATTCCATCCGCTGTAGGTTACCAACCCACTTTGGCCACGGACATGGGTACCATGCAGGAACGTATTACCACAACAAAGAAGGGATCCATCACTTCTGTGCAAGCTATTTACGTGCCTGCTGATGACTTGACAGATCCCGCACCTGCCACCACCTTTGCTCACTTGGACGCTACTACTGTATTATCGCGCGCCATTGCTGAACTGGGTAACACATTGCTCCGAAAATAAAAAAATGATAGTCCAAGACCACTTGCAGCGAGACTCTGCATATTTATACGCGAATCGGATTTTTGAGAGTACCTCATACAAGGTGTCCCATAGGAAATTGCTGAAACTAATAGCAGTCATTTTTTAATGCATGCATGCAGTTATTCAGAAAACAAAAATTGTGTTGAAAATAGGAAAGGCTGCAGTTTCTAATGGATTTAAATAAAATGTTTGTATAACAGTTTATTTTATTGAAAAAAAGTAATAAAAAAGTGCTAATAATCACATATGTAAACTAATGATAAATATTTTTGAAGTGTGCACCATTTGAATTTGTACAAAATTCTGTTCTTTTACGAAAACTCGTAAAAACTTTTTCTAACATGTCATTTTTAATGTTATTGACGATCCTTTTAATAGCTGCTATTAAATTTGGCACTGTTAAAAATATTTATTGTTAGTTTATGTGATTATTAGCATTTTTTTAATTACTTTTTATCAATAAAATAAACTAGTATTAATAAAATAATCAATAAAACAAACATTTTATTTATATCTATTAAAAACTGTAGACTTTCCTCTTTTCCACACAATTTTTGTTTTTTCAATAACTACATGCATTAAAAATGACAGCTGATTAGTTTCAGCAATTTCCTATGGAACACCCTGCATTATCAGATCTCATGAAACGGCCGATCGAATTCTTAATAGGTTTATAAGCAATAGCTTGGATTTCAAATATATAAAGAAAATGTCTTTATTTTTGAAGTGTTATATAAACGGAGATATACAGGGTGGTTTACAAGGCCAATTATCTCCGAAAATAGTGGTCCTATGAAAAAAATGTTAAATACAAAAATAGGGTTCACAATAAGGCACTTGCTGGTGACCTTGACTTTGACCTATAGGTCAAATTTAGAAGTCATTTCAAGCTTAACTTAATTTTTTAAAATAGAATCCCCTATTTTCCATTGCATATTCTTGTAGTTTATCTTAAGAGTTTTCCAAAACACTATAATAAAATATTTTTTATTAAGTACTTTTTGAATTATAAAGGATTTAAAATGAACAATTTTTTGATATAAAATGTAAAATATCTTGTAAAATATTCAGTTTTTGGTAATCATTCCTTTACTTTTTTGTACAGAATAATGAGCTCAATCAATTGGTATAAAGAAAATAGTTGTTTTAAAAATGATGTATGTAATTAGCAACATATTTTTTTATATAAGGTAAAGTTTGTTTTATTCTAAAAATTGATTTAAGTCTTAGTCATCGATCTTATCAATGTTAGAATGTGTTAATGTCGCTCCTTGGTCTTAGTTAAATTTTAAGCACAACTGTATTTTTGTGATTCTTCAAGTATGGATTTATGCAGGTATTTACCCGGCCGTCGATCCTCTCGACTCTACATCTCGTATCATGGATCCTAATATTATCGGCGCGGAACATTATAATATCGCTCGTGGTGTACAGAAGATTCTTCAAGATTATAAATCGCTTCAAGATATTATTGCCATCTTGGGTATGGACGAGTTGTCGGAAGAAGACAAGCTGACGGTTGCTCGTGCACGCAAAATCCAGAGATTCTTGTCTCAGCCATTCCAGGTAAAAATAAAATATATCATATAAAAAAGTCAATAAACAAACATTTTCAATAAATTCTAAAATCAAATGAGAAATATTTTTATCGGCTCTCAATATTAAGAATAACATATGATATTTTAAATCGGCCAATAGAGCCCAAGCACGAAAAATTAATTCTTCGGAACTGTATCTTTTGGTTTGAGATTAAATTCTAAAATGTTAATTTTTTTATAGCAAATGTTTCAGATAAAATTTACTTGATTCTTCAGAAAAACATTCTGTAATTTCTCGATTTATTCCAAGATGCTTGCAATATTTTAAATTTATTTATTTATTTTTTTATAACAAAAATATTTTTTATAAGTCAATTTTTCTCTTTTTTACACATCAAAGTATGGAGGTGGAGTTATCAAAAATAATAAATAATTTCAAATATTCTAAAGTTGTTTTAATATACATATATTACAAATATAAAATATTTTGTAAATTAACTTGCCGATTATCTTAATATTTTTATATATAAAATAATAAAGACTTAATTTGTATAAAAAGCATATAAATCCATTTAAAAAAAGTGATTTTTTGGAAATTAAAATAAAATAAAAAATAAAATTTTGAAAATATCTAAACCTGAAACAGAATGCTTGCTCTCTTGAAATTAAGCAACTTTTATCTGAAATATTTCTATGTAAATTGCATATTTTAAATTAATATTTTTGTAATTGGTAATCTTTTATTGTGTGTTTAATATAATTCTTTTGTACCAGAATTCTTATTAATTAACTTTTAAAACAATAGCATTAAATATATTTATTATACTTTTATTATTTAAAAAATGGTAATAATTCAATCGACCAACTCTGGCAAATAAGTAATTTTATTGAATATTCACAACGTTTCGGCCGTGGTTTTCGGCCCTTATCAAGTGCTATAATATAATATTAACAATTATTAGAAAAATAAATATAAAAATAAAATCTATAGAAACTTTCACACGTTAATACGCAAACATATCTATGTTCTTAAATCAAAGTAAATCACAACTTTTTTAAAAAACAAAAATTCGAGCTTAGAATCTGACATCATATAATAACATGATAGTATGAAACGGAATAACTATGTTATCGTGTCGATTTCGAGGTCCCTATATACTCACTATTTTGATCAAACTAAACGATCTTTATTAGTTTTTCATAAACATTTAGATTATCCGTGTCTTTCTGCAAATTAATTATAGTATCGTCTTTATGTAGCCCGTTATATAATTTGTCGAACTACATCCATAATATACTTATTAATTCTATTAGAAAACCGAGATTGTTTATTAAAGATGGTTGGTCCTTTGCCGAGAATATTAAGAACAAAGTAATTAATGACGATGAAGTACTAATATCATTAGATGTTACTTTCTTATTTACGAATATCCCCGAAAGAATTAGTAATTAGCGGAGTAAAAAAGCGTTGGATGGACATCTCAATCAACACGAAATTCATTTTTTCCCAATTTTTATATGTGATTGAGTTCATTATGGATTCGACAAGTTTTGTTTTTAACGGACGGTACTATGAACAGATTTTTGGTAGTCCTATGGGGTCTCCGCTCTTACCCATATTAGCGGATATGGTGATGGACGACTTAGGGAGGACGGATTTCCTGGAAAGGTTGAGTTTCAAAACTTCGCTGTTTTACAGATATGTGGATGATATTTTCACGATCATCCCATTGAGGGGTGTTGATGAAATTGTGTCGTCTTTTAATGATTACTATTCGAGATTAAAATTTACGCATGAAATTGAAAGTGATAACGCGATTAATTTTTTGAACACTACTGTGATCAGACATAATGGTAGATTGTTAACTGATTGGTTTATGAAATCCACTTGCTCGGGTAGATATATTAATTATTATTCTAATCATCCTTTTAAATACAAAAAGAATACCATTTTTAGTCTTGTTGATCATGCAATTTTATTATCGGACGACTGTTTTCATCAAATGAACATCTCTAAAGTAAAATCGATATTGACGAATAATTGTTTTCCGTCGGATATATTATTAATAAGTTTGTGAATAACAGGTTAAAATTGCTTAAGACACGAAATAATGACGATCGCAATGTGGATAACGATAATTCAGTTAGTAAAAAATTTGACCGTATTATACAATTACCGTATGTCAAAGAACTTAGTGAGGATGTTTCGAGATTATTACGATTTACTGGCATGCAAAGCGTTTACTGCATACCGAAAAAATTAAATACATTAATTAGACGTGTCAAAGATCCTTTACCTTTAGAAGAAAAAACAGTAGTATATAAAATTAATTGCACAAATTATTCCTCATCATATATTGGTCAAACTAAACGACAATTAGGCACACGCATAAAAGAACATTTTAATAACATTAAGGTACACAATAGTAATTATTCAGTCATTAGTAATCATAAATTGGATAATGGTCATGATTTCGATTGGTCTGCTCCAGAAATTTTATATCATGAGAAATACGTAAGTAAACGAGAAATCGTGGAGATGTTTTTTATCAAAAAATTTGACAACACAATTAATTTGCAGAAAGTCACGGATAATCTAAATAATGTTGATGAAAAACTAATAAAGGTCGTCTAGTTTGAACAAAATAGTGAGTATATAGGGACCTCGAAATCGACACGATAACATAGTTATTTTGTTTCATACTATCATGTTATATAATGTCAGATTCTAAGCTCGAATTTTTGTTTTTTAAAAAAGTTGTAATTTATTTTGATTTAAGAACATAGGTATGTTTGCGTATTAACGTGTGAAAGTTTCTATAGATTTTATTATTTTTATATTTATTTTTCTAATAATTGTTAATATTATATTATAGCACTTGATAAGGGCCGAAACCCATGGCCGAAACGTTGTGAATATTCAATAAAATTACTTATTTGCCAGAATTGGTTGATTGAATTATTACCATTTTTTAATTATCATCTGGTGACTTCATAGTTTCATATCATTTATTATTTAATATATTTAATATATTTAATTTATTATACATTATTTAATATAGTATATTAAAAAGAAATCAATTGTATTATTCCAGGTCGCCGAGGTGTTTACTGGTCATGCCGGTAAATTAGTACCATTACAGGAAACCATCAAAGGATTCCAAAAAATATTGGGCGGAGAATTGGATCACCTACCGGAAGTAGCATTTTACATGGTCGGTCCGATCGAGGAAGTAGTAGCAAAAGCAGAATCATTGGCGAAACAATAAATTAACTCACATTTATCGTAAAAGTATTGTTAAAGATTTATTCAATCATCATTCTTTTGAGGAAGCAACCTTTTAAAATTTGCAATCCTTATTCTTTTTGTTATGTTACAGTTTCTCAAAATGAGACTTTTAAATTATAAAAATACTGAAAAGTACTTAGATGAAAACAAAATATTAAGTACAATTTATTTTTGCAAAATTTAACACTAAATTATTATTGCAATAGATTAATTAAAAAATATAGTTTGTTTATTTCGAATTAGATTAATTAAAATACTGCCAGAATTATGTAAACACTCATAAAAGTTATTTTACCTTATATCTTTTGCTACAAAAACAATGAAATTATTAGTAATCAGAAATAATGAATGTAATCAATCAGGATGCATATTTACATATTATTTCTGGACCTACTTCATAGATTAAATCAGTAATCATGTTACTGCTAATTAACGTATAACAAAATTACAGTGTTATGCTAATAAAAGTTTTACAAAAACATAATTTGTAGTATAACATTTATTATACTATTAAATCTTAAAGTTTAAAAAAAAATAATTCGACATAACTAAAAATTATATACATTTAAATTTAAAATATGATATATAGAATGATTCAGAATAAATTTAAAGATTTTGACAGATTGGAGATTGTTTTGAATAAAAAAGTCATACGAATATAGGTTCTCGATATTTACATAGTTATAGGAATTTAAAAATTGCTCGAGAACAGAATTTTTTTGTTATAATGGCATTTTTTTAAATCAAATGACTTCATATATTGTCAAAGTTTTTTACACTATTCTGAATCACCCTGTATATATTATAAATTACAATTACAATTAAATTCTAGGATGATAAATGGCATGTAATTATTGGTTATTTTAATCTGCATGCTTTATTCAAATTTGATATAAAAAACTGTACACATCAAACATTGTTTTCATATCATAGACTTTATTATAAAAATTATTAAATATATTTTTTATGAATTAATATTAAAAATATTGAATTTTAGTTGAAAATATTTGTCATTTTGTAATCACATATAAATATTTGTACATACTTATACATATAAGACATTTATTTCAAGAATAAATTAATATAATAAATCAATAACAGTTATGAAAAAATTAATATATGTTTTAAATATTCTTTTTCTAAAATTGAAAAATACAACAAGATATATTAATGTTATATACTTCTATATACTACATATGTATATATATTTAAAATGCTCGAATGTATATTATTTTTAAAAATTGTTTTTTGATGCCTATTTATATTGAACTATTAATTATTCAAACTTAAGTTTCTAATATGACAAATTAATTATGTTGCACATATATAGTATTTATTCATTATGTATCATTTGTTTCATATATAGTCGAGAAAATAATAAGAATAATTTCTTAGTTTTAAATCTTTATTAACAGAAAAATATATTTTACCAAAATAAATATATGTGAATTGTTTCTCCGAGAATCATTCTGCGGGTACGTGATGCTCATATGTATCAAATGCTCGGTGTAAATTGGGCCAATGTCAGGCAAGTGCAGGCAAGAATTATAGCTATCTTTGTATCAAGACCGAGAAATAAAAATAAGCAGAAATTAAACTAAAATATTTGTGCAACAATATGACTATAAATACATATATTATTTACAATATATTTTATATAATAATGTATTTAAGATTTTGTTTTCGAAAATTTTATAAAATTAAATTTTTTAAATGTTTTATTTTTAATTAACTATTTTATTATTTTTAGTACAAATTATTTTTATTACACTATATTATTGTTTTATTTAATTTTATTTTTTCAATAAAAATTGTTTTTTAATGCAAATAGTTTTATTTTATTTTGATTTTTTTGTTAACCAAATATATCTTCTAATCAATCATATTAATGTATGAATTGTAATAATAATAAATAATAATGTATAACTAATTAAATAGAATATCTAATTATTTAAAATTAATAAATTTTTTAGATTTAAATTAGGATAACATATAATTTTAATAAACGTTAAATAAATACTATTCGATAAAATATTTATATTTGTAAATATATTTATAATAAAATATTCGTAATAAATACAATATAAGTCAAACAAAGACTTTATAGATTATGACGAATAAATAAAATCAAATAAATAAAAAATAAAAATACAGGAAATAAATATATTAATTAACTTAAATATTATGTCATAATGACGTTCAGAGATGTCAAATGGGTATCCTGATTTATTTGAAATAAAAAATGCAAAATAATAGAAATTTTTCATTTTAAACTGCAAAATGCTTTTTAGACATCCATTTATGTAATAACTTAAATATTATGATACATATCATAATGACGCTTAGAGATATGCCAAATAGGTGTTCATTTGCAATAAAAAATGCAAAATAATTAGAATTTTTTTATTTAAAACTGCAAAATGCTTTTTAAACATTTATGCAATAGAAAATGAAAAATAGATATTTTAAACATTATTTTTAAAAATTATTTTTTAAAATAAAGAATTTTTTAAATATTTCTTACATTTTCATATTTATTTATATTTAAATTTTTACAATTTTATTACTTATATTTCTTTGTTACCATACCCACTATTTTTTTATACTTTCTATTTTTTTAATATTAATTTGAATTATGTACATTAACATATAAAATTATAATAATTTGTTTGCCTATATTTTGTTTAGAGATATTCAGTTTTTTTAAAGATTTAAGATGATATTTTGATTACAATGCTTTTTAGAAGTGAAATGCGATTTCAAAAAACAAATTTTTCAAAGAGATAATTCCTGCTCATTTTGCTTCTACAAGGTTTCATAATTAAAACCAATGGACGTAATAACAATATAGTGGCACTACCATTGCGTTAATTGTATATGCATATTAATTGATATCTCGCATAATTTTTAATTTGCAAGAAAAGTGCATTATTTGCAATAATAAATGGGAAATAAAAATTATTTAAATAAAATTGTAAAATAATTTCTAAAAAATATTTTAAATGCAAAATACAAAAATACAAACCTAAATAGTACAAGACATCCTCAAGATCCTTATCCTGAAAATGTCCAGGATAGTCCAGGGTAGGATGTTTTAAGATATTATATTATAATATATTTTATGAAAATTTAATATCCATATATGATTATTTTTGTTAAACAATAAGTTATATGCTATGACACAATCTAAAATTGTTTTATTTTCAAATTTTTTAATTTTGATAACTATCTCGAACATATGTATTTTTTTGAAAAAACTTCAAGAATACGAAAAACTAGTATAACAATAATAGTTCTTCAATAATACATTATCGAAGAATTATATTGTTATATTAGTAATTTTTTCATATTTTATACTTTTTTGTATAGGTAAACATTTTCCGATATAAAAATCAGTATAAATAGATCCTTTTCATATTCTATAAAAGTCTTTGGAATATCCTACACAATATCCTGAAGATGATTCAAGGATAAAAAATGAGCGATTATTTGCTCTTTCTTAGGACATCCGGAGGAGGTTTTAGGATTAAAATAGGATATCCTGAGGATATCCTATTTTGTTATATTCATATTGGATGTTCTTTAGATTTCCAGCAGACACCCATGTGCTGTCTGGAAAGACTATTTAAAAAAAAATTTTTTTTTAATATTATCGATAAATTGCAAATATTGGCTTGTAATTTAATAAGATATTTATTGTTCTGCTGCGAGAGAGTTATAATATCTTTAGCTTTTCAAATCTTAAATAAACAAAAACCTTCACATTTCTCGAGTAATAAAATATTTATTAAATATATATATATATATATATATATATAATTTCTTCTGTGTGTTTCAACGTAATTGCCCAGACAACACAGAATATTTATAATAATTATTTTAATATTTTATAAATATTTTATAAATGTTTTTGAAGTCTTAGATTCAATAGATCATAAATATTGATTATAAATATCAGAAAATATTTACAATAAATATTATGGTAAATATTATACATATATATTTTTTAAATCATTATGATATAGATTTTTAAAAATTTATATTTTCTTTAATAAATACTCAGTAAGAAATCATGAGTTAAAAAGACATAATCAACAATTTTTTAATTAGAACGATCGGTTGATATAGTCTAATTTAAAATTTGATTGATTGAAGTTTTTGTGTTTTTCAAACTCTATTAACTATTTATAAAAAATTAAAAATGTGTAAAAAATGTTTATAAGCAACTTATTAGATATTTATTTTAAAATAGAATATAAAATTATAACATACACTGTGAATATACTTAGGCAACAAAGTAGTTTGACAAATAAATTTACGTACACATCGATATATACGTAAATTTATTTGTTAAAAGATATTCTATTGCAGAATGTAGATCAAAAATAGAAATAATTTTATGATATTTTTAATTTTATTAATTTCCGTTTTTGCGAGCCTTATATAATTCTCACGACAAAAATCAAATACATAAAATCTAATAAATAATAAGAAGTTTCAATGAAAAAAATACTTAATTGTAGTGTCTTAAAAAGCTCTCGAGGTAAGCAACACAATTATGTAATAAAAAATAGGGGTTTCCATTTAAGATTTCAAAGTTGACTTTCACAGTGTCCTTCAAGGTCACATGAAGGTCATATTAATATAACCACATAATAGACTATTTTTTATTTTTTAACACTTTTATATTTAACATTTTCTTTCATAGTCATTATTTTTCAAAATATTTGACTATTACGGAATTTTTGCCATCACTGTATAGGCGAGAAAATTATTATACCATTTATTTTTTAACGGCAGAGATAAGGGCTGTAACTTGCAGAATATGTTATGGGCATCACCCACAAAAACGGTGAAACAGCTGAAGATCTTTCCTTGTGAGTATTTATTAAAGAAAATAAATTTTAAAAAATCTGTATTATAATGATTTGATAAATATATTTATAATATTTACCATAATATTTATCGTAAATATTTTCTGATTGATGTATGAAATTGACAGA